TTTCTCTTCTAGGATATAGTTAATCTTATAGAGGGATATAAGGAAAATCTTATTACTTTCCTTCCCTATATATTAATAAAATCTAGTACTTTTAATAAGTATAATAGTATTAGAGGGGCTAAGATAGCGTTCTTAAGATTTATATAATAGCTATAAAGGCGTAAGCTTACGGACTTAGTCACTACCGAACGGAAGAAGCTTTTAGGCTATATGTAGTTAGGGAGAGTCTTAAAATAATCTATTTTATTAGTTAGTATCCTCTTAATACTAAGAATCTAGCTTTAGTCTTTTTAGAATAGACTAAAGGAGGACAGTAGGTATCTTTGTGGTTATATTATTCTTAAGGCTATACTCCTTAGGCTAGATAAGTTATCCTTTCTAATAATCCGGGAGGACACTAAACTCCTTAAATTATATTTACCTAAGAATTAAGTTATATTATCTAAGATTAATAATTAATATTAGTAAGTAAAGAAGTCTCCGGCTATTAATAATTAGGGTTAGTCCGAGGGTATAAATAATTAGCTTTCCGGGGTATCTATTATAGCTTTTAGTTAGGATTAGGTATAGTAAGAGTAAAGTATATAGGCTAAATACCTTCGTGGCCTATACCGCGAGAGATAAATTAATATAGATATATTTATTTACTCTAATATCACTAAGTACTAAAATTAAAAGAGAATATCTATTATAGGCTATCTAAGCGATAAAACTAAGACTTTCGCCTAATCTAAATAATTTAGTTGAATTTAGAGAATAAAGTAATAATTCCTTATTATCTAAAAAGGAGACTTCTTCTAGCTTTAGGCTTTTCCTAACTAATTATCCTAAGGGGGGTTAGGCGGCTATTCTAGTACCTAAAGTTTAGTGGTAGCGATTATAAAGATAGTATTCTTCTTTAGACACTCGCGAGTTATATATCCTTACTTATAATAATTAAAGTAGCGACCTTTCTTTATTAAAATATTATATTCCTTAACTAATAGCGGCTTATATAAAGCGATATTTATACTCTCGCGCTTTATAAATAAAAATAGTAAGATATAGGACTAAGGTATATTAGTTATGTGGGAGATCCAGTGGGAGATCAAATGGGAGATCAAGTCTTTTATCCTTCGATGAATAAAAGAATATTTCCTTAATAGGAAACCTCAGGGTATGATATGATGATTGAAGAAGAATTATATTTTTCTTGTAGAGAATTGCGGACATATTTATATCCAATCAACAAAATTCTAGGCCTATATTAGACTTGCATTATTTTAAGTCTAGGCCTGTCTTGCTTTGAAATCAATTATAGTCTAGGCATCATTTTTAGTCTAGACCTATTGTCAAGGCATCATTAATAGTCTAGACCTATGTCAAGGTATCATCAATAGTCTAGACCTATATCAAGGCATCATTAATAGTCTATCCATAGAACACCTTTTAATAGACCTATTATAATTAGGTGGCTTTTCGTATTTACCTGACCAATTATAAAGATCATAGTCTTCTTGGATGACTAAAGGTAATGCTGACAGTCCTTGATAATGCTGACAAAGGTAATGCTGACAGTCCTTGAATATGCTGACAAAGATAATGCTGACAGTCCTTAAATATGCTGACAAGTTAGGGTTCTAATAATAGCTTTAGAGGGGGTAATTAGCTTACGGGATTCCTTAGCCTTAAATTAAAGAGTAATATTATAAGCTATACTCTAATAAATATAGATAAATTTATTAAAATTAATAGAAGTCTTATCTATAAATAATATTATCTAAGTCTATAATAAGTTTAGGAGCTTATTATAAAGGTCTCGCTTTTAGTAATTCTTTAGTTAGTTCGCTTCTTTAGCTAATTAAATAGATTTAGTAAAAAAATTATTAAAGCTACCCTTTAGCTTTATTATTAGACACTAATATTCTTAGTAAGCCTTAATAATATCGTTTAGGTTCTAAAAAATACTCTTTAGGTACTCTATAATATTTAGGGTGTCCTAATAAGGGTTCGAGATATCTTCCTTTAGGTAAGAGTAAATATAAAGAAGTACCTTCCCTTTATAATAGCTTATAATATAGATTATATAACATTCGGTAATAAGATAATAATTAGTGTTCGTAGCTAGCTTATATTTAATTATTATAGCCTAGGTATTAAAATAAATTATCTTACTATTATCTAATATAGATATATTAGGTATTTTAGCTAATAGATAACTATAGATTTTAAGGACTTAGGGGTCTTAATAATTTAAAGGGTTCTAAGGGCTCGGTACTAAGAATTAAAGGATCTAAAAAGTAAAGTTATTTAATTTATTAACTATAAGATTATAGTAAGTAGTAGTCTTATCTCGCTCTTAGGTCAGGTTAATAAAAATAACTTTAAGTTACCTAATATTAGCCCCCAGAAGTTTTACTAAATATATATCGCTAAAGGTCTATAAGTCTTATTAGGTCTAATAAGCTTCGCGCTAAATTAGTGTTGGGATATAAGGGGAAAGCTACCACGAAGCAGATCGTGGCCCCTTAAGTCCGTGGGATCAACCTTAGTCCGGCCAGGTCAGTCGGTGCCAGACAAAGGTGAAAGGTCAAAGGTCGTAGGATAGACTATAAGCAGATATAGCCTAAACGAAGGCAGAACCACAGTCCTGAGGTTCAAAGGAAGAAGGTAGAGATGACTTTTGGAAAGTAGAACTGACTTGATTCTTTCTGCTAGAAAAGAAGGACATATTTATAGGCTAAAATAGCCTAGAAATGACGTCTAGAATGACATACAAATACTAGGCAGCAACATAATAAAGGTGGCAAAGAAGGGAACCGAAGAAAAGCCAAAAGAATGATGTCAAGGATCGACGGTTTAAGCCACCCCGAAAGCTTCCCCGCAGTATCAGGTTATGCATGCCCAAAGGTGGACTATTTTATCCCTAAGGGAAAGTGGTCCACCTATCCTTGAGGGGACCGAGGGTCGAAGTCTGTTCACCGAGGTCCAAAGACCATAGTCGAAGTCCGCGGGCAAGATATGCCCGAAGGCACCCCCGAAGGAACGGACCATTCATGCCTGAAGGAAAATAGTCCCGCCTATCGTTCGGGGGAGGGCCGCGGACCAGAATCGGAAGTGGTCAAAATATCATTTTGATAGAAGAAAAATCTGGTCACGTGTTCAATATCTGATCTTATATGTTGAATATAAGGATAGATCTTTCTATGTAGCATTGGTCTATATTCCAATAATTAGTTATTTTTATAGGCTATCTATATTCTCTTAGACTTTCTTTTAGAATTAGTCCTTAGAGTAAAACTCCTAATAAATAAGATCTTTAGCCTTTAGGTTATTAGCCTTAAAGCTAATTATATCGCGGTGTCTTAATAGGTTCCGAGATAGGATTAAGAACTTAGGTAACTCCTATTCCTTAGCTAGCTCCTCTTCGATATTTTCCTTATTCTCCTTTTCTTTAAAAAGGAGATTCTTAGTTAGCGCGGTATATCTCTTATATTAGTTATATAACTTAGACTTCGTATAGGTATTAGTTCCTTTAACTATAATATTATTTTATTATAGTGTTTAGTAAAGGTTCGGTTTAGGGTTTATTTATTTAGTTCTAATTTATCTAAGGGTATTATTAGTGGGGCAAGATAACGATAGCGAGATATCTAATATCTAGACTATACCTAAAGGCGATAAGAAAGAGAAAAGAAGAGTTTAGTTATATATTACCGACTAAGACAAAGAAGAAATCGTATATTATTAATAGAAGTAACTAAATTAGAGAAGAAGAAGAAGAGAGAAAAGAGAAACGAGCAACTACGAAACAAAACCACTTCTAAACCTAATCGGGTTAGACCTACGCCTCCTTCCAGACCACGTTCCCCCTCAGGCCTTCCTTAGGCGATAAGACAGTTATGCGTCACATTAATTAGGGTTTAGGGAGAAGACTTAACTAACCCTTTCTTTTCTAATAATTATAAAGATAGTCCTCTTATAACTATGAGGTCTATTACTCCTTTATAGTAATTAGCTTAGGCTAATTAAATATAGCTTTTATTCTTCTTTAGTATATTTTTAATTTTAAATACTATAATCTTTAATATATAGAAAAAAAATAATAGAAATAAAGTAAGCTTATACTAAATATATATAATTAAAAGAACTCCTAAACTACCTACTAAATATTACTAAGTAGCTTTTCTCTCCTCTTTTATAGAGCCTAAATCCTTTATTTTCGCTTAAGATTAGTAATCCTTTATATTAATTTAGCCTTTTTATTAATAAGAGTCTAATCTATCAGAATTTACTAAGAGATACTATTCTATAATATAAGTCTTGAGAATTTAATAAAAATTAATTACCTCTTAATTAAGATATACTAAATTACGCTTTAGATATAGTAAGACTATATACTAAGCTAATATCGCTTATCTCTAAGGAAGCCACTATAATAGAATTATTTAGAGAGAGAAATAGTAATAGTTATATTATAGGGTTAAATATATTATAAGGATTATTTAGATTCTATAGAAGATTTAGTCTCTATATCCGATAATTTATAAAGGAATAGTACTCTAATAAACTAGCAGACGGCAGAAGGACTGCCCGAAATGGCCGTAAGTGAGGCCGTTTTAAGCCGTCAATCTGCCAACCTTCCCACGACGCACCACGACATCCGCCCACGCCCACCCATCTGACCCCCCATTTGGGCCCCCTGGGGCTATGGCCTCCATCCCCTCCCCCGAAGGCGAAAGGCCTAAGTGTCTACGGAGGCTGCCGCCCCTACGCCCTCGTCTCCACTCACACCAGCCCCGTCCGCAGCCTGCGGCCTCAGGGACCGCACGAGATGGTCAAGCCTGATTCCCACATCTACTCCCCAGAGAGAATTTCCATTCCGGCCAAGAGCTGTGGTTTCCGAGAAGGGGTTATTTAAATGAATGTTGATTTCCTGGCTTCCGTTATTACCCACGCTGGCTACCAACCACGTTTGCCTTCCACTCGCACCTCAATAGTTCTCTCCATTCCACCGCAACATGGCCCGTTCTCGACGACAGGCGTGGTCAGAGTCGTATGACGATAATTCACAGATCGGGGAAGATAGCTCCGACGACAGTAACGATGAGCAGTATGACACCGATCCGACAGAGCCTGATTTCGATGAGGATTAGCTCAAAGATCCTAGTGATGTTGCGCAACTTTTTGCAGACAATGAACACTCCCCGACTATTATCTACAGTAACTCGCAGAGTTTGATGAGTCGGTGTATACACAGGAAGATTATAGCAAAGGCACCACTGCCCTTCTTGACCAGGTCGAGGCTCGTTGGAAACAGTACGTCCTATATCCGTAGAGCTCTTTTCTTCTTTTATCATTATCTAAGCTTTGTTAGATTTTGCGTATGTCTCCATAAGGCTCCTAAATAAGAATTCCAGAAGTTATCTATCGCTATCCTGCATACATTTCTTGACTGGGCGTTGAATTTGCGACGGGGCAAAAATGGAAGACGGTTGCCTGGAATCAAACGAAAAAGCTCACTGGAGACATTCTGGAAGGTTTTTCGGCTGGTCTTCGAAAGAGCAACCTCAGAAAAGATCGGGAACCAGATAAATCGTCAAATGCGCCGGGTAAGAAAGGAAATTGACCGTCAGCCTCCAGGGCTTCTCTTGCTCTGTTATGTATAGTTCTGATTGATGTCAAAGGTGATCCGTAAGTTAGCTCGGAAACATAAATTGTCTTGGAAAGGCCGCGAAAAGTCCACTATATTTGTGGAAGACCTAACTATGGTCGTGGAAACGGCCATTAGCACTACGAAGAAAAAGTTTGGATATGGTCGGCATCGTATTGAGCTATGCCTTTTCTTATAATTAGCTGGGCTCACAGCCAACCGCCCTGGGTAGTGCTGAGCCTGAGGTATCGTTATATCCGAGTCAGTCTACTCCGAGATCCCTAGGGTGGCCCTCACAGAATCTTGATCGAATTCAAATTTGAATACATAAAGGGATTCCTTGGCGCGAAGGACGAGTAAGCCTATTAACTCGGCCGAGTTTTCTTACCTCTAGCTATTATTCGCTAACTGTGAAACAGAAATACATATATCCTGCCGGAGATTATATTTGATCCGTCGCTTGTTCTCAGTCCCTATGTCTTCTTGCTAGGGCTCCTTTTTGCGGATCGTGCCTTTAAGAGAGTTAAAGGAGAGGAGGTCCTGATAAGCGCAGAGCAGCTTCCTCGCTTGCAAATCCGGGATAGTTGCAACGAGCTTCTATTGCTGCTTGATCCAGCTCTGGAGGACGTGCCTATTTTTCGACAGACCGAGCGAAGCTTGCAAGGAATCGGGATTTCGGCCTATAAATGTTTGCCGTACTCAACTCTTCTTCCCTAGGTTAAGAGTATTGGCACCATTACTGGCTTTCGATAAGTTGCCCGTCCTTATAGCCTTCGATACGGGGCTGGTAAGGCGTTGGATAATAGCGGTAATTGTCTTTCTATATAATTCTTGACGTTTATTTTCAGGCGCCTAACTATCTCTGTTTTAGGAGCTGTGAGTGACTCACTTCGTAACCTGATCATGCACCACGCCGATACGCGCACTTTCTTGAAGTACTACCTCGACCGACGGATTAACAAGAACCTTCCTGCCATTATCCGAGGTCTAAATCCTGATAACGACATTATGCATGCAGCTTGTCGAATGAGCCGGACCATTGACCCCGATCGCCCACAAGAATTAACGACCGCCCAAGCCTCCTCAGTCAATGAATGGCCTGAAATTACTACCCTTATCTAGCGTCGCGATATAATTCGCCAATAACTAAGCCGTCCACTCTCATAGCACCGGGGAAGTCCGATATACGAAAGCTATCAAAAGCTAAATTAGGAGATCAATAGTGCCAGGGAATGGGCAAGGAACATATTACTGTTGCAGCTTTAGCAAAAATATGATCAAGAGCAGCCTATATTAGAAGTATAGCGGCAGCTATCTGAGACGAAACTAGCTGAATCAGTAACGATAAAGCTACGACACACGGAGGAGCTACCAGAACCTCAGAAATGGTTGATTAAGCGTCTTTTAACTCTGCTATCGCCGACATTGGACCAAGAAATGTGTCGACGTACTGAAGCTATTGATGCTGTCGCCGCTTACTGTCAATTTGAAGAAGGTATTACATGCCGTTTGCCACAGAACAAAAGGGTTGAAAGCAATGTGGCCGAGCGCGGTTACGTCGATAATCAGAAGCCGGGAAGCGAAGCGACTAAGGCCCAGGCTAAGTCGGCAAGCCCACTTAAAAATGCTATTCGATCTGTCACAAAAGACCATCGGCCCTTGTTCTGCTTTATTTGTGTGGGACAGCAAGGCCTAGATCTCAATAAGCGTGTGCAACAATTCTCATCCCATGGAGATGTTTCAAAGCACATCAAACGAAAGCATCTACAGAACCTTGCATCAAGCACTGTCATTGCTTGCAACGTTTGCGATGAAAAATTTCCGGAAGTTATGCACTTTCAACGCCATGCTATTGATTCTCACTCGACTGTGACCGGACCTTTATGGTGCGCATTTTCTAAATAACGGCTCGCTGTGTTAGTTTTTGTGCATAGAATCTATTAGATCCTTCAGTTCAAATAATTAGATGACCTGATTATCTTTCTTACAGCCGTTTCAAATGTACCGAAGTAGCTGTAGCAGCAACAGCAGGAGGGGGAAGATCAACACCCATACTCTCATTTTGAATCCTCGACGTTCGGGCGAAGAGAGAACTGGTTCTTTCTTTCAGAGTGTTGACTTCGATTGTCTAGATAACATCATTGTCATTGGTTACAGTATGATTTTGGTAAAGTGATTCAAACGGACTGAGCATCAGATGATATGTTGCGGCAAGAAGAGAACTTTCTCTATCTTTCTCGTTGTACTACCTGCTTTGGTGCTGAGGGCTAGGGTGGAGCAAGATGTTATGGCGCCAATCCGTATCGGGGTTAGTTCCGCAGCCCATTCCATCTTGAGGCCTCAGTACCACAGCTGCCCTTGTGAATTACTTTCTCCCCTCGCCCTGGAATGGTTAGCACTTGGTGGGTTTGATATAAATGCACCACTTGCCACGACGGATGGTTTCATCTTTCCTCTCTTCAGAAGCCCTCACTCAATAAATAAAGTCCCTCATATTTAGGAAGCAATTCTATCCTTCAATTTCTACTTCGGATCCCTTCTAACGGCAAACAAAAATATCCCCAGGTTGGTGAAACAGACACCAGGCCCTCTTTCGCCAAAATGGTTCTTACATATCATAGGTACATTTTACAGACCTCATCTCTCACATTGTACTGATCCTTACTGCTGATTTTCACGTAGCCTCATGGAGTCTGGTGTTGTTCTGGTCTTCGTTGGCAAGGACCAAAAGCGGTTCTTAATTCATACGGAGTTAGCTAGCTCCTTTCCAGTCCAGATTCTTCAACCTCCTATAGCGGAGGAGTTTGACGAGGTAGTCTTTGGCCGTTGCTGCGAGTTTGTGTATACTGGTGATTACTCCGTCCCCCCTCCGATCTACGACGGCATCCGCAATCAATCAGCCACAGAATCTGTGAGACGATGGGATCCTGCCGGACTTTCTTGGAACTTTTTCCACCCAGGAAAGTTCCCTATTGTTTGTGCCGACCTACGTGAACGATTGGGTCAGGTGAATCCCAACTACCGAGCCAACGACGAATCAAGCACCGACCCTAAATACAGTTATGCGGATGTATTTCTTTGCCATGCTGAAATTTATAGTTTCGCTTCCAGAACGGGGTGGACTGCGCTATGCCATCTATCACTCTACCGCCTTCTGGGGCTGCTAGCAAACTTCACCCTTTGCGAGGAACGAACTGGGGATATTGTCACTCTATTCAAATTCACCTTTGAGAATGTTGATTCTGAGGAGTTTGAAAGCATAGGGGACATAAAGTTTGAAGGTATGGGAGACCTCAAAAAGTTGATGGGAGACTATGCAATGTGGAATTTGGAAATCCTGATGCAGGATATGGATTTTCAACTTGTACTTGACAAAATGCCGTCTTTGGCAAATGCTTTTTTCCGCTGGATGTGGAAATAAAGTAGAAAATAGATCAAATGTCATCTGGGGGCTCTTTAAGGACTAAGCACGTTTGAAGAATAGCAAGTGTCATTGAATCAGGAACCAAAAGAGAGCTTTGAAGCTTGGGAACAATCGGAATCCATGGTTCTTATTTTGGAAGTTGCTCCTGGGAGCCTAGTCCTAACCTGTAGATCCAAGGAATCAAGCTCCCTTCAAGTTACTTATTCTCAGCCCTGTAGTCCCATCATGGTCCTGTAGATAAATGATCTGATTACCCTCCAGGATGTTGTGTTTGTCTATAATTAATTCTAACAATGATTTCATCTGCTGTTGCTGAGTCATGCTTAATGACTTTACTTCTGATTATGAGCCCCGCTCGAATTTATCTTCTCTTTCAATATCAAGAGGCTTGGCCGTACTGCAGGGTAGACATGGTTCTTTCTGCCCTATTGTGTCTTTCTTTTGGAGTACTCGTCACCCTCTTCTGGAGCGGAATAGCGCCTATATGGAGTCAGATTATCTTTGGTCTCACACCAATATTTCCTTCTTTACAGGTGGTGTGTCTTGTCCCTTCGTACAATATATGAAGTCAGCTGACCCATTACAGTATTTGCGGATAAGGTTTCAACAACATCGACTTTTAACCCCGTCGCGCATATCAATCATCCTCTGTTGCCTTTTCGCTTTATCATCAACACTAGGAATGATTGCAATGACGTTAGGCGGCACATTTTACCTAAGCAGTGTTCACCTGGGTAGTTTGTTTATCCTTGTTGTGGACTATGTGGGCGTGACCTTGTGGTATTGGTGGTTGGCCGGCCAAATGACCGAAGGTCGAGCAAAAGTCCGCCGCGTTTCATACTATTTATCGGCAATGGCATTTTTCTTGCTGATGATTGCCATCATGGGCACTGCTTGGAAAGCATGGATCATCACCCTTGAGGTATGTTAATCTTTCTTCCTATCATCTCGAGGAAATGCTGATAGCAGCAAGAGTGAATTGTGTATTATCATAATTTGGACGACCTTCTTACAAATGGCTACTTGACCATCCGTCAGTATCAGCATCCGAAAGAAATGGGTTTAGCTTAGTGGTATTTGGTAGGGGCCATTATTGAGTAGATGAAGTCGGCCCTGCTTCCCCTTGCGTTATATGTCTAGGAGAGCGAAGTGCTTGTGCGTCTTCACAAAGGAGTGCATAGGCAGTGAAATGTCAAAGAAGAGATCATGGAACAAGTTAAATGTGGGGGATTTGAGCGACAATTGGCACAAGAAAGGGGATTTACAGCTAGCATCTCACAAATGATGCCCAGAGGACTTGTAATATCTGGCAAGATATCTTTTCAATCGCCATGTTTTCTTCGCTTTCGTAATTTCAAATCAGACAAATTGAAAGGGGGAACAGGTACATAACCATAAATAGACAATGTTGAGCCGTCACTCTGCCTAGTAGAGCGAAAAGAAGGGGAAGAGTCCACTTCATAAGTCTCCCTGTTTCCGTCGCCATAGTCATGGAACACAGCCCGTGTCTCTCGCTCCTTTTTCTTGAGAACCACTGGCCCCGCTTGTCGCGCTATTTCAGTTTGAGACAGATATGGGGATCTGTCCAAAGAACCAGAAACGCTCCTTGGTCTCGGTAGCGGTTGTGGAATACCTATTCTCGACGATAGGGAAGTTTCTTCCGGTGGAGGGACGCGGGCAGAAAGATTGGAAATATTCTCCCTGATCAAAGATTCTGCTTCGGCAATGGGTGTCTTTTTTATTTCTTGTATAATGACAGCCATATAGTTTGTGTTTATTACCCATGTCGGTTCGGAGTTGGCATTCATATATCTGTTTAACTTCTTTTCTAACCGGCGCAGAAATCGCTCCTGGCGGTTGATCATTCTTCTCAAGTGTTTTCTTGAAGTCGATACACATCATTAGGTGTTTGAACATGAAGTATCAAGGCGGATATGTATGCTTACGTTTGTAAAATAATCAGTTCCTTGTCGCTCTCTGGGAGGGACGGCCTCCTCAGGTCTGCTACAGAGCAATCAAGAACCAAGAGACATGTTAAGGCTGTCAAACTTATTTTCACACTACTCAGCATGATAAGCGGAACCTGGACTTCGTCTTTTGTCAAATGCCATCGGAGCTTTGCAATAAATTTGTCAAAACCACTAGCATTAGTATCTTTCTTCAATGGCTCAAGCTTCAACACAATCTCGTTAATCTGGCCAAAGGCGAAAGTTGCTTGAGAATTGGGGATTTTCTCTAAGCTCTGTGTGCGAGCCAACTGCATCACGCGGTTTTCTAGCGGATGACTGATATGCCTAAAGATTCCAAAAAGGCTCTGGCAAGCGGACACCTCATCTGCGAGAAGATTAACCTCTTGCTTGGCGACTCGGAAGTTGTGTTTTAATTGGTGTAGAAGTTTTCCGCATTGTTCTAGTTGATTGTAAATCGCAAATACCGAGGCTACCGTCCCGATAGCTTCCATTATCACAGAGCGTGAAGCCTTAGTTCTGACTCCATCCTCCAGTTTAGAATGACGGCTCAAATACCTTGCAATGCGGGGTTGAGGCTCAACAGCACCCATACTTGGCCCCCACGTATGAACCACTCAAAAAACCAATCAATTCATGCCACGGTCACCCCGCATTATAGCCCTGAATCAAATTATGCTTGGAATCACGCGTGGTGGTTGCCTCACTTTATTATCAAATCAGCATGTTTAGAGCATCCGCCCTACCCGCGTAAAGACCAGCGCCTAGCATTCCCACCAGGTGTCTAGCTTCGAGCCTAGCGCTTTGCCAATTTTATATGCACATAGCGGCCAAGCCATGCAGCCATGTTCAGGTATGGCTGGCAAGTCGAATTTATGGTCCGTGCGCATATCGAAGGCAGGGTTTTCAAATCCTTCATGTTCCGTTACCGCTGCGACTATTGAGACACATCAAGACCACGCAATGCATGTTTTAAAGATGCAGTGATTGATCACTATCTATGAATTAATTCCATCAACCAGATTCTAATTGAGCCTTATGATAGATCTTTTTGTCCCTTTTGTTAACAATGGCTGGCATGAGACTCATGCAGGCTGGCAAGGGTATGTTTCAAAAAGGGCTTGGTCTGCTAGGTGAACCATAATTTGAACATCTTGCCCCTGCTCGACATCAAATAGCGGCTGGGTTTCATTGGATAAGAGTAGCCCTCCGAACGCATATAATACTCTGCGCCATGCATGCGCGCTCAAGACGTAATTTAAGTGTACGCCTCTGAAATGGGACATCTGTGGCGGGTGCAGCTGCACTGTACTTCCTGTTTTCACGAACTGCCAGTGCGTCAGGTTTCATGGCTAGTGATTCGAGTGACCGGGTTGATGAGATTCTCGTTGCAAGTCTATGTAATCCTTAGTTCATGATATGAGACCAGATATAAGTAATCTCAAGATTCCCTCATGCTGCAAATTGACTGACCCTCCTGTCTAACTTTTTTTATTTCCCTAATATTGGAAGCAAAAATGCCAGATTCATGCCAACCGCAAATTACCACGTTTCTGGAGTCATGGAGGAAGCTTCGTGCGGCGGTCATTGAAATGGGACCCTACGCAAAAATGATAAGTCAAGTGGAAGATGTTCTAGAAGAAGATACTGAAATAAAAACTAAGCTGAAGTGGTCTGAAGAGAAAATAAAGAGTCTCAATCATGTCATCGATGAGATGATCGTGAAATTCGAGCAGCGGCATCTTGCTCTTCAAGAAAAGCACGACTCTAGTCTCCATGAAATGAATATTCTCGTTCAAGATACCAAAAAACGACTAGGAATTTGTTGCGGAGAACTTGAGAAGTCGGCTCAGAACTGTCGGGCATTGGAGGATGAATTGCGAGCGCAAAATGATAGTCTGTCGGCAATAACAGAGAAATATCAAGAACTATGGCAAGCCCTCGGTTTTATTGAAGTTGATGGTGATCTCTTGTAAGTGAGGAGCATCTCATCTAAGATACTATCGCTTACACTTTCGAAGCTCCGCTCGACTCGATAGACTTGCTACGAGAGTACATGCTTTTGCAGAATCCTGCCTCGGAGAAGGCTCCGAAAATCCGACCTCAGTGGAAAGCCAGGTATGTGAGCGTTCTTGGCTATTAAAAATGCATTATGTTGACTCACCCCAGGATAAAGTTTTCCGGCAACTTGTTAGCTCAACATTCATTAGTTGCGAGAGACCAATCCCTATTTCAGACAGTACAGCTTCAAAGTACCTCCGGATAGCAACTCTGGAAGCTCTGATCGCGGACCAAATTTCAGCCAATATCTTCCGAACCATTCCAAGTTACACAAGTTGGTTCAAGTCGATTTCCCCCGCTCCAGATTGGGACGTAATAGCAAAGCAGGAGCCTTTACGGGAGGCTGTTCTAAGATCAGTTTCAGCAATTGTATACACCAAAGAACAACAGGAGCTCAAGGAAACCGGAATCGTGAGCATCATGGACGATATCGCCCGCAAGACACGACCGCTCATATGTGACATGCGTTCTTTTGAAGACGAGTTACGGAGTTTGTTGCAAGATGCTGTGGATATCTGGAGTCTGACACAAAGAAGCCCTCAACGGATAATCGCATTTCTTAATGATAAGACCTCTGTGGACTCTCCTGCCTTTGAAATTGATGAAGGTATCTCCATTCCGGCAGAATCGAGCGAGTCAAGACCAAGAGCGCCGATACTGACTTTCCCGACCGTCTTGGTGGCCAATACGTCGAAAATACTTCATTCAGGGTATGCTCTGCATGCATCTAACCCTTTGATTTTTTCCGGAACTATTGAGGTAGAGGACCAAGTCAGCCGGGTAATTAGAATGGGCTAGGTTAGATGATTTGCTATCGGTAATACGTTCAGTTGGAAGACGAAGATGGCTAGCCGATTCTGCCATGTGTGATCGTTGCAATTTCACTTACTGATATCAATTCGACCAATGTTTCTTCTCTCGTAGTTCCGGTGATAGATGTGAAGACTACTCTTGTGCCAATATCGTTGAATACGGAATGCCCGATGTTACATCAATGGAATGTGCCTCTCACTCTCCGGGTGAGCTGTTGAATACATTCCTGAATTCCGAGGCCCTATCGTCTGACTGGAATTTGAACATCCATGTCGGTTTCGATTAGGCGTTTAGTAGCCGGAAATATCATGCTAAAGGTGGTTCTAACTGCAGATTCTTAACGCTGCTGGCATCCGTTTGCGTAAAGACACAGTATGGAATCCTAGTACACCAGTATTCTAAGATTGAGGTAGATTGAGGTGACTTGAAGGCAATCATCAGATTGAAAAAGTGCTGCCGAGCGATCCGGATGAGAGGCTCATATATTTGGTCTGTCAACATATCTTCCGTGGCGCTAACTCTCAGGTGAGAAAACTGAAGACTGTCAAAGGGATAATTAGACAAAACCAAATTGCTCTCACCGATATTCTACGAGAATATGATATCAATCGGACCAGCACCGTGGCCAAGAAGCTTCTGGAGGGCGAAGTTTTTGATTCGACATTGAAGGCTAAAAATCGATTTCCGGAGTTATTCGATGTCTCGCCTACCCAGAGTGCTGAGAGAGAAGCTTCAGAGGCAGAGGCAGCGAGAGATGAGGCCAACACTGTGAGAGAGATATCTGATAGGGAGGCCTCAAAAGACACTGCACTCATTTCTCACACTGAACTCAAAGGCGAACGGACGTTTGGTGATAGCCAGTTCACTTCCGCGAAATCTCTAGAGCAGGATACAGACACACCTATAGCCGTTCGATCGCTCTATCCGGTTTACATTCACTATCGGTGTCAGCATGACATTTTGACGACTATACAGGAATTGCTTGAAGATAGTTGCTTCGAGTTTGCTCAGCAACATTTCCCTCAACTCTTGGCAACGAATGGATGGGACTGTCCCGAGGCGGTCGAACTTACCGAATGGACCAAGATACTCTCTTGCCAGTCTAACCCGCCGATAAACAATCTAAAAAACCCCCTGAACGAATTTATTGGCCTCCTTCGAGAACTTCGACATTCTGCCGTGCACCGGCTTCGAAAAACTGCAATTGGTGTTGAGCGGCTTGCCGAGAACGCATAGGTTTTCCTGGAAGCCTTGGAAGATCCGACTCGATCAGAAAAGGTCGAGAGTCTTCGAAGGGAGCTGCGATCCGCGATTGAAGAACTCAAGCGCAACAAAGATCTCTTGGAAAAGAGATTGCTTGCATAACTCAAGGAGATACAAAAGAAAAGGAGTGAATTGGATGTTTGGGGAAAAAAACGCGAAGGAAGCTATGATTAGAGAGGACTTGGAATGTTCAAGGGGTATTGGCGAAGGTCTGGAAATCCTCGTTCAGCAAGTCAAATCAAAGGATCGAAAGGATGCCGAGGTTGAGAAATCTTTGCCGGATTGTGTATTCGGATTCGTTGGATTCTGAAGAGGAATTTCTGGATGCTGCTTAGTAACACCGCAGTTTTGAGGGCTGATTTCGAGAATTGTATGTCCTTGCCGCGTCTTTAGTGTTCCGTCTTTCATTGTTTTTTCTTGAATTAAGATGCAAAAGCGGTTCAATGTCAATCTTCCAGTCTCATTAGCTACCTCGAAGATCTCGAACGTAAGAAAGATCACTTTGAAAGGAAATTGCCTTTGCGCAGCTCCGGAGATACAATTGTTTTTACAAGCTAGAGTAAAATTTTTCTGCCAGTCTCAAGCTCCTTCACCTGTTTCTGCAACTGACGACGCTTCCTTCGGACAGCTGCTTCCTCCCGGCGATTTGCTCCAGTTGTTCGTGTGAGAGGTTGTAGACCCATGAAGGAGAGAATAGTTTCATCGGCGCGGCAGGTCCAGTGACCAAATAGTAATCTGCCGCTTGCATACACATATTGTCAATGAACCTTTTTCGGGCAACTTTGTAGTATGATTTCAAGATATCGTGGATATCTTGCACAGTCTGTTGTAAATTACTCATGTGGTGAGTTCGAGTGAGATCAGAAACTCTCACACATTCTCCTTTTGAAGAGTCGTCGTATTTGACGGAAAACGATAACTCCTTGACTTCAGACGAGATCCGTTCCTGGCGACTGAAATGGAAATTAGCCACTCATAACTAATAGGAGGCCGTTGATTCTGACCATTTTTGCAAATTGCTATTCAAATAGTGATTCTGAGTCATTGGTGTTCCATCTCTTTTCAATTTTAAGCAGAAACTTTGCCATCGAAAGGGCTTTCCGATATTTCTCGGTAGATCGTCTATCAGAAACGAGAGGATAGCTGAGGAGAAGGGTTTGCGTACATGCAATATATTTCCCCACCATCCCTGGTCCATTCCCGGATACATGGCAAGGCGTAGGTCACCCGATTAGATCATTCGATCACAATCTGGAAGACGGCATTTCGCACCACGTGTAGAGCTTGGGGCAGTCTCGATGAAAAATAATGACGGCACGGCATCTGATGGTTGTCGACTTGGTAGTTTCGAGGCCTAGGTGTCGAAAGAGGCGCTTTTGCTCCAGGGGAAAAAAAGAACTTTGCGCCTACGAAAATCCATTCAGACTCTCAAGGTCCTCCAGAATCTCGCCTCTATTGCGTCTGACGAATTATTTGATCCTGCAAAGTAGATAATCAGTTCGTAATTTTAGAACCTGCTGCATTGGAAGGCGTACCGATTGACATTTTCAGGCGGAACGCTTTCGTAGCATTCAACCTGTTGGTAAATTGAGGAGATTAAATTAGCTGAAAAGACATGATCATAAAGGCACATTGCTACTCACAAGATATAAGGCATTGTGGTTAATATGACCGTAGAACAACGCTTTCAAACGTTGCGTGGGAATGCTACATATTTCAAAGATAGAGTAGGTGGAGAAAGAAGCACTCTTACATAGCTTACAGGGAAGAGGTTTCGCTGCGGCCCGCCCCTAGCGCAGACTTCAGCCACAATTAGTGTCCGCAACAACGAACGAATAGGAGGCCACTGCGTAATGACTCACATCACTCTCGAACGTGACCCACTTCAGCAGGCAATGAGCCAATCGAGTGTCTCCTCATTCCGGTCCAGGTCCGCAGGTTGTCTTGTCTGAGCATGCACCACCGAATAACTAACTACTGTGGTCGGGGCCATTAACAATGTTAGCGTGGTACTTCCATCCGTTGTTGATGACTAAAGCAAGCTATAACCGCCTTCCTAATATAGATTAGTCTAATACCTTACCATTTCATGTCTCCCCTTCTACTATCTTCTACCCTCCCTACGAAGTGTAACCAACTTACTTACCCACTACCCTACCCGTCTACCTACGCGTGATGGACTCTCAGCAGATACCCCAGCGTAGCCTAAACCAGCCACCTCAGACCCCCTAGGCCTCATTCTGCTAGAGCCTCTCGTGATACGCGTATTGCAGCAAGTACCCTACGCGATCAGCATTATACCTATGCCCAGATTGCGTCGCAGTTAGGTATTACGCAGCGCCAGGTTCAAAAGGCCTGTACCGATGAGAGGCCAACCCCTCGTAAACCCCGAGGCCAACGACGCAAGCTCTCGGAAGATAAGCTCGATGAAGTTATTGAGTTTATTACTTAATCAAAAGAGACGCGACGTAACGTAATTCCCAGTCGAGCGGGCCACCCCAGAACACCATACTAAAGGCAAGATTTCTCAACTTCATATTTCAACGCTTAAGGCTGATTATCTAGTCTTATGGTATCTCGATGTTGAAAATATCATACTAGGACTATAGTAGGTATTTAAATAAGCTTTAGAAATATTTCTCATAGTGATAATCTTCTATATATTGTTTTCTCGCTCGATCAGAGCGTATTTTTGGTAACGTAAGTAATTAATGCTTTTCAGAATATACTACTTATGCTAAACTATTTTTGATACTAAGAAATAATAGCATACTAAAAATAAAGGAAATTTAGTATCTCGCTGTTGATATATGAACACCTAAAAAATCGCATTTTAGTATGGTGCTTTGGGGTGGCCCGCTCGACTGGGAATTACGTTATGGGGTTTGAAGAGCTTATTCATCGTCTACAGCTTCCGGTCTCTAAGAATACTTTACGAAGAGCCCTAGCTAGACGTGGATATCACCGATGTAAGGCCCTTCGAAAGCCACCTTTATCTGACCGTACACGAGCCCTTCGTCTGACTTGGGCATTGGAGCACGTTAATTGGACCCGTGAGTAATGGGAAAAGGTATTATGGACCGATGAAACCTGGGTCATATCGATCTATCATCGACGGATCTATGTGACGCGTCGGTCTGGCGAAGAATTCGATGATACCTATGTACGAGAGCGTATCTCTCGTGCACCAGGCTGGATGTTCTGGGGGTCGTTCTATGGTAATGAGAAAGGCCCTTGTCTTTTTTGGGAGAAGGAATGGGGCACTATTACTAGTGCTCGATATACAGAGCGGATTGTGCCGCTGATTCATGGTATAGTTACGATGGCTCGTGATAACAATAAGCATCTTATTGTTATGCAAGATGGTGCGCCTTCGCATCGAGATCTTCTTACAATTGAGGGACGGAAACCCCAGATATGAATCAAATGTTTAAAAGAAAAACACGAGGAACTCACGTACAGTTCTTCTTGGCTCCGGTGTGGTTATGTCCACACCAACTCAACGTCTGGTTCAAGAATTCCACTACCCCTCTTTCAGTAAGATCACCTGATGATAAAAATTATCACAGATGACTAAGCTGTCCTGGCCTCAAAACGTACTAGTTAGCTCAGCACGTACATTAATCCGGGAATACTGCGCTAAGCTTAACCACAACGGCCAACATAGTTCGATTTTCCTCGCTGCTCACTTGCCTAGTCTGAATGGGCAGTATATACCAATTATGAAGTCCAGCCTATATGCACGACGGGTGACTTCATGCATCTTCTATCGCAGTAGGATACGGGAAATTTTCTTTGTCAGGACGAATATTTCCACATATAAGCGCGCCATCGCCCAAGTTCTGCGATAAATCTACCACAATTTCGCTCAATTCTCCTAACCATTTCTGCTTGCATTTCTCAGGCGCAGATTACCTCATTTCCAAATGGATATGCGAAGACAAGAAAGCCCTAGAGCCAATACCGTCGCCGTATCCCATGCAGGGGACAAGGCCGTATCTATGACCGGGAAGGCACGTTATTATTGGGAGATAAAGAAACGTTAATAAAAGCCCCTGCCAATACTCAGGCTTTTCATAGAACCACAATGGGAACAATCTCCATTGTGACGAGGAAAGAAATAAACGAGGTATTGTTATGGCACTTCACCCCCCCTATTACTTGCGTCCAGTGATATTTATGTCTCCTAGAGGGCTCTAACCGGCGATCTGCACATGAATTTACCGGCACGCAGGTTAATGAAAGTTCATTTGTATTCAATAGTGATGCCACGGGAGGTGGAGGTCAGAATGGGACTCAAATCCACATAATCAGTGGGGGATCTGTGAAGAACAATAGTATCCTCTGGAATGGCAATATAGACCCGGCCACCTTCATGAAAGTCTTTTGTAAAGATCGCGAAGGCAAATAAGATGGGAAAAACTTGAAACTTCGCTGCTCACACGCCGGCCATAGTTGGCGATGAGCCACCAGAGAACTTCTGTGGTTGCCTTCATATGCCTTCAATTAAGGACTACTGCCGTTTCCCAAGCTTTGTGCTCCAATATACTTGTAGAGAGCCTTGGCTCCTTCCAGGGTACTTCTGACAGAACTGCTCGGTTACGTCGGACCAAGCAAGCTTTCTTGTCTCTCTGAGCTTAACCAGCAGGTCAACCTCTTCGTGCGACCATGATAAACCTTTTCTTAAGTAACGAGCACGTCCCATATCGACCGAATCCGTATCTCTATCTGCGTTCTGGGATGTAGCCATCGGGTGTTTATCACTTCCGTGTGGCGCATGGAGGCAATGTGACAAAGCTCCCTCGAATAGCCAGGACAAAAACTGTAGTCTTCCTTCGATTAGGAGGGCGGTGAATTGAGCACGGAGAGTAGGGAGCGACGTTATCTTGCGGCCGAGTTTCGGAGCGGACCGGCTGCAGTTTCACTATCGTACGGCCGTATAGTAACGACGAACGTACGAGGTTAGGAGGATATTCCTAGCCTCATCGCAGAAATCGAGACCTAGTATTTAGCGACTAGGTCTTTCGTATAAGTGAACGGGGTCGTATAGCGGTTCTCGATAGCGGAATACCTTCTAGACCTGGACATAAGTACAGGACAAGACTCTCACCCTGGAGACAACCATATTTCAGATACAGGAGAATCAGGTTCAGGCTTAGCACTCGCATCTGTTTTGTCTCCGTTCTCTCCCGGTAATGTTCCATCCCGTGCGTCTCATCAGATCGATAATAACGTAGGGGTTGGTGGGCATAGCACGAGTCTCAAATGAAAGTATACCCCAGAAGCTGATGATCCAACGGCAAGAAAAGTAACTCGTAATCCCACACCTTGTCTAATGGCAGCCTACAAATAGCAGCGTCACGATTTTCCTCACCTTCTGATGATGAAGACTTGGCCGTTAGCGATGACTTGTCTTCGTTTTGTTCGAGTTCTGAAAGTCCTCTTCCCGGGCCTGCGGACCGCAGTGTGACACACGAACCCAGCCCCCCTGGACGAAATCTTTTCCACACTCACCGAAAAGGGAGAGATCTCAAGTACGTAGCACAGGCGACTATCTTCTTATGCGTGACTTTCTAATTTTTTGGAACGACATTCCCGGCACTGGTTCGCTTCTAGCTTCTGGCACGGGGCGACTTGGAATATTAACCAGACCTCGCGCACGAACGCGTCGCCTGATCGCGCCGGGCTCATAAGCTATCTGGTGACGTTGCAGAATGACGACGAGATACAGTATTTGAGGCTACTTGTTTTAAGGGTTCTTCTCTTTCTGTTGTACGAAAGAGAAATTGAATGCGAAAGAAGACGCGGCACTGCGGCGACTACTCTCAAGCAAACTGCCACTAACAACTTGTGCAACACAAGCGGATTGTCGGGGCCAGACAAAAGAAGATTGAAGAAGTCCTTTCATAATAACAAGCGGCTTAGTGAGTATTGGTGGTGGTGTGCCCGATTCTTCGGCCCCAGCTTCCTCCTGCGATGCAGTAGGGAAGCACTTTATCTTGATTTACGGGAATTTCTTAATTCCTTGGCTTAACGTACGTACGACTCAAAGACAAAGATAAGTGACATCATCTTGGGTATATTGGAAGACTCGGTAAATTCAAAGTCTTTCTCGATCTCGGTTGATCTGCCGTTCAATTACGATCGTGTAATCCTAACTTCTAAGGCATCATAACGGCTCTCTTCAAACTGATAGATTCATGGAGATTGGCGAAAAGGAACGAATGAAAAAAGGGGATGTGAGAAATTGGGATCCCGCACCCTGATCATCACCTGCTTCATAACATTCTGGTTTGGTACAGTGAGACGGGTTAGAGGGTACTCTCCCGCGCGGCCTTCGGCCTCGAGAGCCAAGTAGCCCGGGGCATAAAGCTCGACATCGCTGGTCCACTGCTCTCGGTCACAGAGGGGCATTGAGTTTGGAAGTTGGTTAGCGTCCTTGGCTTGACAGAGAATATCCACGACCGGTAGGTCCATGTCCAGTCTGATGTCATCGTTAGTTTGTTGGGTTGGCTTAGCAGATATAGGTCAAGGGAGACTCACGGCGTATTCTGGTGTCTATAAGCACCATGTGTATGTTTGACATTGTCAAAACCTTTCCAGTTAACAAAAGCGTATATATACGGCCATTTCATATTGAACGGGCGGACCTCAACGGAATCTCTGACACTCCCATTGACTTCAAACTCGACAATTGTCAGGCGCCCACTTTCGAGGCCTAGCTCATCAACCAGCATATACGGGCCTTCATTCTCAAGGTAGAGTACCGTGCCCGTCTGTGTGAGATAGATGGATAGGAAGTTTGCCGTCTCAAGATCTCGCCAGGGCAGATAATCCTCTACCGCAGGATCGGTCGTGGTTGCTGGGTTAAGAATAGCCTCATACGGAATGTATTTATGGCCTAAATTATGCCCAGGCTCAATATCATAGTCATACGACAGGATGGCGAATTTCACCAATCGCGCCCGATTTTCAGGATGGGCCTCGTGCACAGGGGCAAGACAAATAAGGCCGTTGGAACATTCTGGCTGAAGAGTGTCATAGATCCGTTCTAGTGCTTCGGCTGGGTACCGAAGGCCTTCAATGGGTGAATTTGTTTTTGGCCCCTCTATGCCTGGAAGACCCACAGGTGCACACGATTGGTATGTCTGAATAAGGGGGAAAGAAAAAAGTTAGTTCAAGGGAGTTCGGAGATTTGACCGAAGTGACCGAGTTGAATATTTACATCACGAAATTCCTGTGTAGCCGAAGCCCACTTTTCCACGAGGTGCCGCCGGTGCTTTAGCTCATATTCCGTATCATCGGAAGCCCCTGCGGTTGCAGCAGACACCCAATTTTCCTGGCTGCAAGTTAGCGCTGAAATCGTTGTTAAAAAAAAAAAAAAATTAAAAACTCAAACATTGGAGCGCTATAGAGACAAACCTGTACAAAGAGTAGCCAGCCCTTGACTTCCTCTTTGATCTCGTCAAAAGATAGATCTGGTTCAGGATGTGGTTGGATGCAAGTGGGGATTTCCCCTGGCCAATACTGAACGGGTCTCGGCATGGTTTAGGGGTATGTGACCAATTCTGTTTGTGTTAAGCATCCAAAAGGTGGTGGTCTAAGGAACGGAGCATTTAAATAAACGGGCGCTAGAGGGAAATGCCGGAAGAAAGCTTTGGCTAACTATGTACTAGTGAAAGCTTCATTAGCGGGGCGCGTACCTTGGTTGGGACCCTGAAGCCGAACGGGAAATTAGGCCGGAATTTGCTCTGAAATTGCATCTAGCACATGGCCCACTACTGGATGTACCAGCGTGGACCCCACCCCACCTCGCAGAAAATCCCTCATTGACCCGACTATGAATCAAAACGATCATATCATTCCGTGCTCGATCCTCCTCCAACAAAAAATTAAGGTGAAACTAGTCAGGAGGACCGAGAATCACAGTTCCTCCAAGCAAAGCCTTATTGCTTCTCATGAACTACGATTCGTCGACTATCAAGACTGCTCTATCACCATCATACCGAGCCGATAGTATTATCAAACAACCATAAACTTATTTTCTTTCTCCCACCCTCCATCGAGTCAACACGGCCGAGCAAAGAAAAAAACCCTATGAATAAAAGCAGCCCCAAGGAAAAGCCCACCTGAAGTCCACCCGCTAGAAATGGTTTAGTCCAACCGCTGCGTCTCTCCACACGATTATCGCCGAAGTACTGACCGAGTCCACCTTACCCGACTACAGAGGCGCTCTGGGCACTACTAAGAGGCTAACAGTAACCGAAGGGAGACATTGCCACCCATAAGCGCCATCACGGGCGCCGAATTGCGATTTGACTATTTGATTTTCCCAGAGCTCTCTGTGTTAGTCTGCCCCTATCTCCACCTCACGGCCTTATGCCTAGGGAAACCTGGTTCTTTTATTATTTACTAGTTATCACTACGACGAGCAGCTGCCATAACTCGAGTCGCAGTTAGCCGAAGAATAGTAGTCACTCCCCGATCCACTATTCAATCTGGTCAGTCAATCGCATATTGCATTGATCTCGAGCTAACTTACCAGTATCTATACTGGCTGCAACAATCTCCGAACTGAGATCCGAGGCAGGTGTAGCCACTGTTACTAGCGCCGCAGAGTCCATTAGGTGAGACATTGGAGCTTGAAGTTGCAGATAAGGTCGCACTAGTCGATGTGGCTGTCGGTGTTACGGTACTTGTACTAGAGCAGTCACCATAGTTCGGGTCACAATTACTGCCACAGTAGTCGCTAGTTGAGCCGCTAAGACTGAGTCAGTTATCATAGGTCAAAGTGTAGGAGGAAGAGTGGAGTTACCAATCGCCGTAAATGCTACAGCAGGTACCAAACGTCGACCCCGCACAGGTCCATCCGTTGTTCGCCGAGCCGCAGAGGCCATTCGGCGAGATTCCACCAGTCGGAGTAGAAGTTGCCGAAGATGTTGACGGAGCGGTTGAGCTGAGGGTAGCGGTTGCCCCCGTAGAAGCTGGAGTTGGGGTAGACACAGATAGATTAACAGTGCTTAGCACGATGCTCGTATTAAATGCGGATGTCGGTAAATTTCCTGGATCAACGAGGCACACACGCTGGTACTCAGAGAACCAAGCAGTATCGTCGTATATGTTGTCTGTCCACTCGGTCTCCGCCGTGATGTTGTAATACGCCATTGCCTGTACACAAAGAGTGTAGTTCTGACTGAGAGCCCAGGCCGTGTTATTATAGGCCGATATAGTGGTTGTCGGAGGAGGAAACGAGTAAAAGAAGTGGCTGTGAGGTCATCAGCATAAGGCGTAAATCCAAAGTCAAGCTAAGAGAGGGCATGTGTACGTAGTGGTACGGTTTGCTGTCAAAGTTGCGTTGGGGTTGATGGTTGAAGCCAGGGTAGTGTAGGAACTTGTACTGCTATTGTAGCCTAGATATAATTGAATGCTTCCCACTGGTTGCACACACTGAAAGGTCAGCACGATCTCTTCTATATGGACTGCCAAGAGACATACATAGCTGTTACCAAGCCAAAGAGAGGAGCACGTTGCTCCAAGCTACAGGTTCAAGAAATAAAAATCATCCTTAGAAATACCGAATGTCGAAGCAACGCTTTAGCAGGTATCATTGGATTGGATAGTATACTAATAGCCGCAGTTAGTGTTGGATATGGTCACAGCATTAGTAGGGACAGGCCTGGGGGAGGGGGGGGATTAGTTACAAGAAACATCCCCCGTAATCAGTGGACTAAGGAGTTATCATACACGGCTGTTGTGGCTGGAAGAAGTGGGAAATTGTTGGGAATGGAGGTGGTACCAGGGGGACTGTGAGAGTGAGCATCTTTCCACTGCAAATAAAGGGAATTGTCCATGCAGAGAAACATACCTGATACAGAGATATTGACCAACTATAGTGTTCAGATTGGAGCACTGGTAGTTAATTGCAGGGTTCTAGGACTAGAATGTCATTGTTGAAACCGAACGAGTGAGGTTCCTCGTGATCGAGGCACAGGAATCATTTGCTCCAACCTGATATATCTGGCAGATACTCGGCAGACACAAGAGCTGGCCGGCAGTGAGGTACTTACACGCACTATCTAACCCGTTCAATGCCGCCAACGCTAGAGTGGACACATTCTTCGCAGCGGAGATGTTGATGCATGTCTTATTGCCCGTTACTGTGTATGTGGTTATCTCTGGGTCAGTCGTGTTGCATCGAATATTGGAAGTGGGCGATGATGGTGCGGTTCCTGAAGTTAAGGTTGTCGTGGCTGTGTACGTGACCGAGTATGAAGCCGTCGCTGAGCAGCTCTGAATCCGACTCTCCACAGCAACCGGGTCCATAACCTCCTGTCCCCATAGAGAGTTAACAACTGTCGTCAAATAGTCCAAGAGACAAGCGCTGCAGAGCACGGTCGGGTCACCATTAGATACGGCGCTCTGAATCACCAGATTACAGAAATTGCCCGAGGGGTCTTCGACATATGTCGCGGACTGTTTCCAGAGCAGCTCCTGTCCTGCCGAGCTTGCCGTTTGCACCGTGCCAGTGATATTATACTGAGCTGTAGCGCCACAGCTGCTATTAACAGATGATATCCAGTTGTTCAGCGAGGTTGTGCAAGACTCGTCGCAGATCATAGACAGCGCATCCGACGACCACGAGGTCACCCTGGTGATCGCGGCGGGCAAACTGCGAAAGCAGGTCACATTGGAGGTGAGCGCTTGCTGACAACCAGCAGATGCAGTGGTGTTGACCAAGTCCGAACTTTGGTAGATGGTCAAAGTGCTATTGCTAATAGCGGCAGTAGCCCCAAGAGCGTGTAGAACTCTAAGTAGCCAAAACTTCTTCGGGCCTCCTATGACTGCTTGTTGGTTTCTATTAAGCTCGATGATTGTTGGTGGTGGACAGGCAAATGTCCGACTGGGAATCCATAATTCTATTATGTCTTTTCTCTGTACTGATGGTATTGTATGTACCGTTCATTTTGTAACTTCGTTGTTTTGTTTCTCTTTTCGCCCCCACTCAACTAGCGATGGCTGCGCTGATACTAGCTTGTACTTTTAGTTATTTGATCCACTTTCGCCAGGAACGAAACTCTATTATAGAGTCGATTCACCTTCTCCTCGTATCGATCAGTACCGAGTTAAGTTCTCCAAACTACTTTCGTAGTGCTCTTACTTGCCTTTTGTGGAATACTTTGATCACGGATTCACTAGTGAATGGTACTTGTAAAGTTCAGAAATCCCCTTCCTGAAACATCCTAACATCCTAGTATGTTAATTTCCGTTCATGCATCAGGAAGGGGTCAAGTGAATGACCGGACATGACCGAACTTCCGAGTCTCTCGTCTACAGACCGGAGAGATTTGCCGACATATTACCCACTTCGTCTGGACTTGTCCTTAGCTCCAGAATAAATTCTGCACATAGCCCGGGCTCCTCGGGGATGATGAACCACTCGTTGTGTTTACTTTACTTACATCAGTAAGGTAGCAATGAGTATTACCAGAATTAGCCGGTTCTGGAGGGTTTCCCTCCTAGCCGTGCTGTTAGGTTCTATTGTTAAAGCGCAAACAATCTACTGCAACACAACTAGCCCCTACGTGAATGGAGCGTGTTGCCAATGGAAAGATAACCAAGACGTGAGCTCACTTTTATCACATCCCAGAACCTTTCTATCGCTTGCTAAAAAATATCCAGATCTGTGGTTACGGGTCATTTTATCAAACCGATTGTGTCAGCAACTGCGATGCCACTGCCCAGTGTGGGAAAGATGCCAAAGATCCCACCGTTAGCTGCCCGTTGAATGTGAGTTGAGACCATAGTACCCTCTTTTGGGAGTGTTAACTGACATCTCAGGTGTGCTGCTCGCAATAGGGGTTCTGCGGAACAGGAACCGACTTCTGTGGCGACGGCTGTCAAGGCGACAACTGCGGAAATCCCACTGTCCCCTCGTGTAGCTCAGATAATGTCCTCAATCGGGTTGTTGGATACTATGAGTCCTGGTCAAGCGGAAGACCCTGTGATGCGTGGCGTCCAAGCGAAATGTCTGTCAGCGGATTGACACATATTAACTACGCGTTCGCAATGTTTCGCCCAAATTTCAGCGATAATAGCTTACTCAACATTGTAGTGGGAGAATTGGTGACATAATGAGCCTATGTGTGGCCTTAGGCATGATTTAATGTCTGCAGTGCATAGTATATCTCCAGACACACTTAGAGGGAGAGAAGTTATCTACCCAATTCATTCAGGATTCACCCAATTTCTTCTATCCATGATACAGCATTAAGATTATCCCGCACGGCCGCAACAGGGCATCAGTACGGCCTCATCCAGCATCCTCTACACCAGACAGGCAGTGTGTGTGTGTGTTGTCCAGTCTGCATCGCCAGACAGCCATCGAGCCGTTCCCATTTCAACATATATTTCATGGACGATGGGACAAATGATGTCGACTCGCTGATCGAAGAATTTATCGCCCTCAAACAAAACAATCCTCAACTGAACTGCTACATGTCGATTGGCGGCTAGGCTTTTAGTGACCCGGGAAACACGCAATCATACTGGTCTGATATGACTTCCTCCTGGGATAAACGACGGGCTTTTGCCAAGACAGTTCTTCAAACCTTGCAACAGTATGGCTTTGATGGTGTTGATTTGGACTGGGAATATCCTGCGGCGTCGGACCGAGGGGGCAAAGACGCGGATACTCTCAACTATGTTTTGCTGATCAACCAGTTGAAAGAGACATTTGACGCGTCTGGTCAAGCCTACGGGATTACCTTCACTATTCCAACTAGTTATTGGTACATGCAACATTTCGACGTCCCCGCAATGCTTGACGGTGGCGCAGACTGGGCCAATCTGATGGCTTATGACTTGCATGGTGTCTGGGATAGCAATGACCCGTTGGTCTTCTCTCTAATGATTTCCATTGTGTGTTCATATATCACTAACTTGGTATAGATACATCGGAAAGGTGATTGGCTCACACACCAACCTAACGGAAATCAAACAATCACTCGACCTGCTCTGGCGGGCTGGAGTCGACCCGTCGCAGGTCGTGATGGGCATGGGCTTCTATGGCCGTTCGTTCACCCTATCTGACCTCTCCTGCGCAGACCCTGGCTGTCCATTTGCAGAAGGCGGCGTTGCGGGACCTTGTTCCAATAGCTCTGGAATTCTGTCTTACAAAGGTTTGTCACGTCCTGCTTAGTGTATATGAGCAATTTTCTATTTGTTGCTAACGAACACTAGAGATCACGCAGATCGTTAATGAGCAGGGCTCTGAGCTCATCTGGAACGAAGAAGCAGCCGTTAACTATCTTGTCTGGAACGGCGACCAATGGATCTCATTTGATAATGCGCAAACCTTTCAGCAGAAGGTTGATTACGCGAATTCAGTCTGCCTGGGAGGCGTCATGATCTGGGCAGTTGATCAGGATACTTATGATTGGCAGGCTCTTTCTGGTCTTCTTGGACAGGCTGTTGATGGGAACGATCTTCTCGACGGCGGCGTGCTATCAGATTCCCAGAAGAAATCACTTGTCCATGACCTGTCAGCATACACGGGCACTGAATGTTATATCAGCGACTGCGTGGACGTGAACACTGGGCAATGCAAAACAGGGTATAGTGTCCTGGACTATGTTCACTCTGCGTCTGGTGACGGTGGTGCGCTTCAGAATCCCGACAGCAAGCAGTGTCACTCTGGTGGTGAGACTGACGGCAATGCCCAGTATCGCATGATTTGCTGCCCGACTAATGCCATGCCTAAGGGCTGCACTTGGGAGGGAGGAAATGAATTCGGCCTATGTACTGGGACCAGTAGCACCTGTGGCGACAACAAGTATGAGCTGGTGGCAGACACATACAATGATCGGACTGGAATCATACAATGCGTGATCAACCAGAGATCACTTTGTTGTAATACCAACAGTCTGCTGAATCAATGCCATTGGAGTGGATGCGCAGAATCCTGCCCTACTAACTGGACAACAAACGAGTGGGGAAGCACAACTGGAGGATCTAGTGAGATTCACCCTCTTGTTCTGTGTGCCTTTCGCCTTCTCTAACACCTCCTTTTATAGACTTGAGCCCCGATGCGGAAACTTCGTGTCAACACCTCTACAGTTTCTGTTGCCCTTCTTCAGGTATGATCTATCCTTTTCTCTTGTGCGTGGAACACACTAAAACTCACGACCCCAGACACATACAAAAACTGTGACTGGCATTTTTGCGACACCTGTCCGAGCGATAAGGTGCTTATTACTCGGCGTACAGAAGTTGATTTGTTAATCAACAATAACAATTATTGGGAATGTGGCAAAGGAGTGGGACACGCGCCTTACAACTCGTTTTGCTGCGATCCCCCTTCTGCCTCCCAAAATCGGCCTGTGGATCCAGCAGATCTCTTTGAGTATCCTGATGAAGATCATGTGATGTACTATTATGATGTTGAGAAGACATCAAACGATGATAGTACGATCATATCACATTCTATAGAGTTTTTCTGTTCATCACTGATGATTACCCAGCAACCAATGATAAAAGTACAGATCCATTTGCATTTGTCATGATCGATGGCGATCCGCAAGCATACGACGAGAGTCTTGTCGATCAATGGACCTTCCTCGTGGACCAGGAACAACTAACCAAGCGGTCTCTGAAGATGCACGAACGGCGAAGCATGTTTGAATACCGCGATGATACTTTCGATAATGAGATCGAGGTGTATCATATCCAGTGCTCCTCTTCTTTCATCAACGGTACCAGTGGTTGTATGTCGATTTTCGATGGTGGTGCAAACAACACGATCGTGAAGATACCCAAAGATATCGGAGCCGGTCCATTTGCACGGGTTATTAGCCTTGTTCCGATGGGCTCTGCTGGCAAATCCGCTCGTTCTAATGTCTTACCGCGCTCAAGCACCGATACATACGAATTGACTGTTGACTACAACTTGGCCGCTGCATCGCCGGAGAGACAGGGAGATGTTAATTTCCGAGTTGATTACACCAATCTTCTTGAATACTGGTACGTTTGTTTCATTCTGCTTCGATTCGCTATAATGCTGACATCTATACAGGAAGCATATCACCGACACCCTATCTAGCAAGCGTAAGCGCTGGTTTGGTAGTTTTAGTAATTGGTTGTCCAAGATGACTACAATTATAAAGGATGATCAAGGGTCCCTTCCGATGGAATACGACGAAACCGTCAAGCTCTTCCACGCTGAGGGTCATTGTCCTGATCTCAATATCACCGCTACCGTGGATCTTGACGCCAACATCCATTTGGGCCTCAATGCCCAGTATGGATATTACTTTGAGGGCGCCATTCTCCCATCCCCTTCTTTGATTGCCGCTTATGGTTACTTCTCAGTTGCGCCTGAAGCAGCGGTATGGCCCTTCCACCTACAATTACTTCTGCCTGATCTTACTGACTGATGATTGCAGATTCTCTTAACCCTTCGCGGGGAGGCTGTCTGGCAGTCAACTACCGGAACACAATCAATTATCAGCGGCATTACATTCCCCGGTCTCTCCATCAAAGGTCTAATCAGTATTGGACCAGAGCTTGAGCTGACTGGTAAGCTGGATGCGTCGCTCAGTATCTCTGGAGAGCTGAACGCCGGCGTCGTTGCATCGTGGCCCCGTGCCGAAGTGTATTTCCCTCAGGATGACGGTGGTGCGGATGCGACCATCATGCCCGAAGATCTTAATGGTGATGATCCACAGACTTTCCGTGTTGAGCCTGTCTTCGATGCTTCCCTGACGGCAGAAGGAAATATGGCTTGTATGTTTATCTGAGCTATTCCTCCTTGCGCAGAGCTAACATGATTTTTCACAGTGACACTGACCCCACAGGTTAAATTCGGTATCTCTGTCCTGGGCGGAGATCTCATGTCTGGATATGTGACAACTGGTGTCGATAACACCGTTTCATTAGGTGTCAATGCATCTGCATCTGTATCCTACGATGGCACTTCGTCTGCGGGATTTTGCTACTGGGCCGATTACGTATACTCTTTCTTTGTTTCCGCTGACGTCTCGTGAGTACTATCCGGCCCAGATACTTTCATTTCCATCTAATACTGACTGGAATAACCAGTTTCCTCAATGATCTTGCGTACTGGGGCAGCACGTATGAGGTGGCTTCCCCTGATGACCCGATTGTCTTGGTGGATAACACGTGCATCACATACTCAGGTAACGACCCCCTTGCCAAGCGGAGCAGCGTGGACAGCCTCGCCGCTAATACCACCGGCCCTGGCTGCTTTGGTGGACTGGTGCAATGTTCGACTAGTATTGGTGTTGGCAATTCCTCCTGTACATTGACCAGCGACGACTCGGACTCGGACACAACAACCACCAAGCGTGCACAGCAGCAGTGCTATAACTTACCTGCGCTCTTCTACAATTGCGATCTTTTTGGCACAGCCTATGTCACGAACCGCAATCAAAACACGATGGGGAACTCTCCTTCGGTAGCATTTATTGGTATGTTTCCCTTATTTCCGTGCCTTTGTGCCCCTCATTTTCACTAAATTTAAGAACGAAAAAGCTCTAATGCACGATGAACAGGTATCTGCCAGAATATTTACGCATATATGATGAAGAATCAAGGCAAACTCCAAGGAAATGGAATGGAGCTTACCTACTGGTCAACTGAGGAGCAACCAAAACCTGGAAATCGACACAATGCATGCTCTGCCAAGTCCAAGGAGTGCGTGCAGAGTAAAACTGCCCTGTGGCCAACAGAAGTACAGGATATGTATAACTGGAAAAGCACGCAGACTGTCAATGGTAAGCGTGTTATAGTTCCGGCACCGACTGACTATACCATAATGGAGGGCTATGATGATAGTATCTCGTGCGATGAATTTCCTTGTGAGTAGGCAGTGTGAACCAACCCCAATCTGAGCAACCTTACTAATAGTCCACAACAGTCAATTCGTATGTCTATTTTTCCATCCGGTATGGCGTAATGTCTGCTAACAATTTACCTATCTAGCTCTGAGGAAGGAGGTACTGGTGCGGTGAGTAACTCTCCACCCCTTTTTCGCCCATCCATGTTCCCTTGAGGGTCCAGAATGCTAATCATAGGACGTATAGGAAGTTGCATGTGTAACCAAGGAGCAGCAGGATTACCAGGGCACGATCCAAACCCTGATATCTAATATAGGGACAAGGTTAGCAGACTCCCCCTTGTATTATGAAATCGTCAGCAGTCACTAATCCACCCATTCAGAGAACTGGCGTTGACATAAAATGGAGCGGATGGGATACTCAGAATGTTTGGACCGGTCAGCCACGCAAGTACAGAATCAATCTCGTGAATGGCGGAACCAACGGCTATGATTTGTCTTACGCGGGCGAACTTACCTACACACCGTTCGGGATGGCTTATATTCTAGGCGGGCTGAACACTTAGGGAAATCCAGATGTACGCCTATCTTCGAAGGCCAGCAACGCTGTGTGCGCGATCGGAGCAGAGTGGAATGCACTGCTTAATATTAACGAGGGCCGTGGGTATGGATGTACCGTCACTTTCGCGGCACAGATGACTGTGTTCAAGAGGGCTCAGGATCCTGATGATCCCACCACCTGGGTAGTTAAGAGTAAGTGATATCCTTTTAAGGTCGATGTGATCGTTGAATGATGCTAACAATGAGCAGAGGTGGAAATCACCGAGGAGTCCTTGAAGAACCCAATTCCTCTTTTCACCGATGATGGAAAGGGCTTTCTCGACCACGCAGCGCGCGATCTTGAGGATATGATGGAAGAAATGACTCTCGAGGCTAATCAAGAGAAGGAACCCATGATCACGGCCGCACCGCACGCAAGTCATTTGCGAGAGCACAAAAATTCTCACCATCATCACCACTGACATGACTGATCTGTGTATAATATAATCTCACGGATCCTCACTCAATACAATTTCCTTTGTCGACTATTTATACCGGAAATGTCTAATAGTACCTTCAATCAATATGCCCATAGCACTCTTCACCGCAAACTCGGCCAATTCGTGCCTACTCTCTCTTATATGTAGGGTACCTTGTCCTCTCTCCAATTTTGAACTTGACTGACTGAGCCCACAGGGCATTCTCAATCAGGATTGCTGTTTCACTGTCGCATAGCCGCATAGTGACGACGATCGCACGAGCTTGGGAGGATATTCCTAGCATCATCGCAGAAATCGAGACCCAGTATTTGTCGACTTTCGTTTGAGTGACCGAGGTGGTATAGTACTGCATTATGGTGGTGGGGAGCTTGGTGCAAAGACAGTTGTCTATGGCTGGGTGTCTGGGACGACATGAGAACATCGAAATCAAAATTCAAATATAAAAGCATCAGTTTCCCCTTCCGGTACATACTAGACAAAGTAATCTAGTCAATCTCACTCTATCTTAAGCAGACTGTGACGAGTAGCCTGGTATTCACCATATGAAGCCCTAGGTTACATCCTGATGTTTGTATGTTTGGCGATGGGAGCAAAGTTACCAAATCGGGATGATAAGAGATGGCGCTCGTTATCGGTGGGACATCAAACACCAGTCCACCAGATAGATTCTCTTCCTCTTTCGGTTCTCTAGTCTTGATACCCTCGTTAAACGCACAGGTAGTTTTCCGAACTGTCCTCTTGGCACGTAACACAGAAACCCTAAGCCCAATTAGAAAACAGGAGTATGTCATGCGGACGCTCGGATTCATCATCAATCACAACGAAGAGATAATGGCGCAGAGAGTCTGGTCCCACGAGATGCAGCAGCCAATTGGTCAAAGTTCCGTCCAGATCAGTGAGGAGCATCTCTATCATTGTTGGTTCACTGAGGAGGAAGTTCGGAGTGTTACTTTGTCCGAAGAGGCTGTTTCGCAGCAAGGACCATTCACTATGCTTCGGGCTGAAAGGGACATGGTTTTGCTGGCGTTTGAACTATTCAGGCGAAACAAACGTTAGGAGTGGTCCCCCTCAATTAAGACCGTTCGCTCGTGAGATAAACTCCTGAAACTTTGGAGGTGCCTCATGCGGAACGTTTTGCTAAACACTCTTAATTCCTTTCAACTTATATGATCGGAAAAATAGAGACACACCATCCATAATTGCCAAGTTATATTAGAAAATCGATGCTACTGCCTCTATACGTTTTCCGGTGGGGACGACCGTCGTTTCCCAAGCTTTGTGCTCCAGTACACTTGTAGAGAGCCTTGAGTCCTTCCAGGGAACTTCTGATTAAACCGCTCGGTCACCTCCGACCAAGCAAGGTGTTCTTCTTCCCTGAGCTTCACCAGTAAGTCAGCCTCTTCGTCGGACCATAATAACCCTTTTCTCGAACAAGGTGTACGTGGCCTATCGACCAATTCGGCATCTCTGTTTACGTGCTGGGATCTATCACTTCCGTGAGGCACGTGGAGGCAATGGATAAGGCACCCTCGAATAGCCAGGACAAGAATTGTAGTCTTTCCTCGACCGAAAGGGCAGAGAAGTGAGCACGGAGAGTAGGAAGCGATACGTTCTTGCGGCCGAGTCCCAGACCGGACCGGCTAGTCCTGTTTTTTGGGCGATTGTCGATGACAACTGAGACTTTACTGATTTTGGCAGGCGGCCGACCAGCTTTCACGGGCCTGACAGAATCCTGTTGCTTTCTGTGGCAACGGGCGTCTCGAACCGGGGAGCGAGAATATTCAACTAGAATGTTGCGTGAAATGGTTGGGGTGATAGGTGTAATTGCCGTTCGTTGTGCCTGCTCAAAATCGCGGGTATGATTATCGTCCAGAATTGCCGGGTCAATCGTTGGACTTTCGGGGGATGGGGCTTTCAAGAAACCCAGGTTAGGCTTGCTGATTAGGAGGGAAAGCGAGCTCCCGGCTATTTGAGTCGAAGTCAAGGAATAGAAGCCCAGAATCCGGGGCGATTTGTTCGAAGGTCATGGTACGATCAACGTCTCCAGAGTTGGGGAGATCGTCAGGGAATAGGGAGTCATCTATGTCGAAGGTCTCGGGATAAGGATTGATTGGCCATATTGGGCCCAAACCCTCCGATTCGTGTTGAATGTTCGATTGTAGACCGCCATTTAAACAAACCTCTACCGGTGGGCGAGCAGGTAGGGGATGCCGCTCAGGTTTTGGATCATAGACCTCCTGGCTCTCTGAAAAGGGGTTGCTAAGATTGGAAGGAGACGGTGTCGCAGATATGGAGACCGGGCTTGGGTACCGACAAATACCGAAGCGATCCCGCAAAGGCTGCTCTTTCTCTTGGAAAGGTTTCCAAGGACGGAAGGATTCTAAGCGATAACTAGCGCTCGGCATATTGCGTGCGCAGAGAGGCAATTTGAAAGGTTTTGGGGTCTGCGGATGGGGAGAATTTGGGAAAGGGGACACTGGAAGGGGAAACGGAGCCTGGTACGATATGGAATAGGGGAAATAGGGGGAAGTGGGGGGGGCTGGAATGGGTTTGGAGTGCTGAAGTGCGATTGGGGGTGGAACTTCCAGTGTCCTTTATACCCACGAGATCAGCCATGAGAGAGGACGCAACTCTCCTGCCGCGCAAGGTATCCGTTCCTCTCTTGTAATCGATACGAAGTGCCACAAAACACGTACACATAGTCCTCCCAGTCCCACTACCGAGCGCATGGCCTCGAGAATACGATGTCACGCCGCCTTCGCGGACGGAACTGCTCATCTGCCATCCGGGCTGCGTTCGTTAGCACTGGATTCGATTGTAGACGAGGGGTTTTCGCCATTGGCTCACGGCACCGAGCTGAGCTATCGAAGATAACCAGAGACATTGCAGCGGGGCTTATGAGGCCGATCATGGCGACGATAGGCTGCTACCAGACTCGCGAACGAGTAGGTGCAGATGAATCTGCGACACCGGGGCCTGTGCGATGTAACTTCGGAAACAACCATGCGAATAATGGGTCCAGTGGCGAGACCGTCCGAGATACCCTGCAAGCGCGAGGGACGCGGACAAAGCACAGGAATGTGTGACGACAACGGCTCAGAAAACAGAAGGCATTCTTAGTCGCTCTGTACCATAATCAACAACACTAATCACTTGAAAAGTAGACACCGGGCGTAGACTCACGGAGAATGGCCGTACACAGGACCCTGTCCGCGCTTCCACCGCTGACTGACTGGATGGCATCGCATTTCGCGCGGCCGGGAACGGGGCTGAGCGTCGGCGGGTTGAGCGGCATGTCCGACGAAATCCGATGTGCGAGGTCATTTCTGGGCACCAAAAAGGGGCAGCGCGAGTGTTAGTGCGCATGGATCGGTGGGGGCGAAAAAGAAAAGGGGGAGCCGAGAGAGTTGGAAGCAGAAGAGAAAGTGCGTCGACGAGACGAAGGTGGGCGAGCGGTGTTTTATAGAAGGTGACGGTGGAGCGCCAGGCGATAAAAGCGGCGGCTGCGGCACTAGGCCCGATCGGGGCTCCTCAGCGGGCCGCGATGCCAGATTGGGCAGGGGAGGCCGCAGCCAGGCAGGCGGTCGGGCGGCGCAGAACGGCGGGCCAACGGGCGCGGTTTCCGGCGCCCCGCTTGCCGTCGTGTAGAATACTATTTATTTAATTAAAATTAATATATATTTAGTATATATTTATTTAAAATTAAAAAGAATTATAAACCTTTTTACGGCACTATTTTATAATTCGGTTAATAGGATTTTAAGATCGCTAAGTAGGGTAGATACCCTCCTAAACTATAAGTTAATTCTTTTTTTCTATTTCTTAGGTATATATCTTATATCTATTAAATATAAGAGAAAGATATAATAGAATTATATTAGATTATACCGAAGAATTACTATTAATAAGGCCTATTTTTAACTAATAACCTTATTATTATAAAAGTGGGTACTTTTACTAATTCTGGTATAATACGGAGTATTTATCCACTATTTAATTAGGATTTTAGAAGCCTTAGAGGTTATTTTAGTAAGTACCTAATTAGTCCTCTTATTTTAAAACTATCTCTTAGTCTTTAGCCACTTTTCTATAATATTATCTATTATCTTAAGGCCTTCAGCTTTTGAATTTATATTCTAAATAAAATTAACAGCTAAAGTAGCCTTATAGTTAGGGAACTTTTTCCGAAAAGCCTATTTAATATATATTTAGTAATAAATTAAAATATATTATAAATACTCTAACTATATCTAATAGGGATCTAGACTAATAAGATAGACTCTGAGCCCTACTAATAAAAAATAGAATTAGTATAGTAATAGTATATATTAAGTATATTATCTATATACTAAATACTTACTTTATATACATATTTACGGTAATAGTACGAATACCCTTATAAGAGTTATTATTACTAAGCTAATATATCTATTAAATAGGTTTTTAACTAATATCTCCTAAGATCTTAAAGATTTTCTTAAAAAGAACTTAATAGATAATATAGCGCTTAATACTTATAAAAATATAGATATATATATTTAGTCCTAAATATAGTTAGTATATATTAAATATATATTAAAGATATAGTAAAATAATACTTCTTACCTATTTATTCTATAAAGAAATTAAAAAGACCTTAGTCTTTCCCTAAACTATCTTAAACGTAAGATCTATTTTAAGATATTATATATTTTAAAAGAGCTTAGCTTATTGATTTATATAACAGATAATTAAATAGTCCTCTTAATTTTTATTAAAGAAATAGATATTACGGATCTATTATTTATTATTATTTTTTATTAAATCGAGTTAGTATTTGCGCTATACGCTAGTAAGACTTATACTATATAGATAGTATAGTAATCGCTATTTATAAATTATAGTAATTATTTTATCCTTAATATATAAGCTCTTATAGATATATTATAAAGCGGAATCTCTATATCAACGGATAATCTTAGAGAATATAGGCGAAACTATTAATTTACCTAAGTAAGAGTTAGTAATAAATTTAATCTTATATAATAATAAGTAATATATAAGCTATTAAACTAAGAATATCTTATATATTTATTACCTTAGCGATCTCTTCACTAATAATATATAATATTTTTATTAGTGGTAAAGGGGAATGTCAGCATATTCAAGGACTGTCAGCATTACCTTTGTCAGCATTATCAAGGACTGTCAGCATTATCAAGGACTGTCAGCATTATCAAGGACTGTCAGCATTACCTTTAGTCATCCAAGAAGACTATGATCTTTATAATTGGTCAGGTAAATACGAAAAGCCACCTAATTATAATAGGTCTATTAAAAGGTGTTCTATGGATAGACTATTAATGATGCCTTGATATAGGTCTAGACTATTGATGATGCCTTGACAATAGGTCTAGACTATTAATGATGCATTGACAACTAAAAATGATGCCTAGACTATAATTGATTTCAAAGCAAGACAGGCCTAGACTTAAAACAATGTAAGTCTAATATAGGCCTAGAATATTGTTGATTGGATATAAATATGTCCGCAATTCTCTACAAGAAAAATATAATTTCTTCTTCAATCATCATATCATACCCTGAGGTTTCCTATTAAGGAAATATTCTTTTATTTATCGAAGGATAAAAGACTTGATCTCCCATTTGATCTCCCACCGGATTTCCCACAGGAAATATATATAAGACCCTCGGAATATAATAAGGTAAAATAGAAAACGATACTAGATATAAGGGATATAAATATTAATTTTAACTAAGCACTTAGTTATTATCTTACTAACACTATTAATATATATAGAATCTAATAGAGTATTAATATCTTTTTAATATACACCTAATATATATTAAAAATAAGTATATTATAATATACTCTTTTAGCTATATAGTATTAGATATAGAAGTAATTCCTAATATTATACTTAGTTAATTATAGCCTATTTTTCTTATAAAGGAGTTTTAAGAAAGTAATATTAACCCTTATAGCACTTTTAGATATAACCTAAGTATAATATTAAGTCTATTAAGATATACTATTAGGATAGCTAATAAAGATAATCTATTTTAAATTATTAGTATATATTTAATATATTATATATATATAGACTTACGCTATTCCGTAACTATACCCTTAGTCTTTATTCTTAATATATCCGATTACTAATTATGTATTAATATAGTCCGTTAATATCCTAGAGAGAAATATAAAGTATAGCCTATAGTTAATTTAAGAAAAAAAAATTTAATAAGGATAGGGTAAAGATATACTCTTTTATTCGCTCTTTGATTTATTCTTTAATAATATATTATATAGGCTTTATAGCCTAGGACTAAAGTTTATAGAATATCTATAGCTAGACTTAATTATACTTTAGTAAAGAGATAATAATACTAAGGTAAACTTAATAGTAGTACTAGATCCCTAAATATTAATAAGATCGATACTAAGATTTTACCTCTTTATCTTTACTATCTTTCTATAGAAGCTTTATATTAATTTATTTTATAGACTTTAATCTTATATTTAAAAATTAGATCTAAGGCTATTAGTTATATAGTCTATATATTAAGTATATATATTATTTAGATATAACTTACGGATAATATAAATTAACTAAATTTCTTATAGATATTATAAGAAGTATTAGGCGTATCTTATAGTAGGTTTTCCGTGGTATAAATAATATATAATATATAATTTTTATCTATATTAGGGATATTTAGGAACTAAAAGATATTCCTAAACTTTATAAGCGATAATAATATCTCTATTATTATTACTAATTCTAGTCCTATCTATAGCTATATCTATTTAGCTAAGGTTAAGGATAGAAATAGTCTCTAAGGAAATATTTTATTCCTTATTTTTATAACTAGAATTATTATTAGAAGATTAATATTTATTAATATAGTCTTAGTATTTAGAAGTCTCTAAATCCGCTTATTCTTACTAAGTATATAATTAATATATACTTAATATATAATTAAAATATTTCGTATAGGTCGTTTAGGTAACCTATATATTAGGTAATTAAGTTCTAAGCTAGCACTAAATATAGCTCGATTATAAGAAATTACCTTATATTTAGAGGCTATCCGTATAGATACTATTGGTAGGGGAAATAGCGATAGTTTAAAATAAGAATAGGCTATCTTAGTTTCTATAGAGTACGTATATAATTAGGTTAAAAGGGGTATCTAAAAGGCAGAAATTTTTATTTCACGCTAAGAAAGATTATATAAGCTAGAATCCTAGGTCTCAGTCAGCTCTGGCACCTAAATAGGACCTAGGATTAGTCATAAAATCCTGGGTCCCAGTCTGTCAGTTCTGGGTCCCAGTCAGCTGGGTGCCCGCCCAAGTAGCCCAAGAAATTCGGTGACTTACATGCCCCCGGTTTTCCAACGCGAATTTTTTTGCTTTACGGGCACTGAATCGCATCCCTAACCATAACGAAGGGAGATACTTTAAATTTAAGAAAATATTTAGAATTTATAGTCTGTCTGGATACGTTAATCAAATCGTCATCTAAAAATAATAAAAGTTGTGCGAGAGAAAAATTTAATTAGTTTGAATTGAAGTATGCACCTCCTTTAAAGTAGAGTACAAATATATTTTCATGGCTGAGGCAACTAATTGTAACATTTTTAACCACCATAGCCCTCAAAACATGTCAATAGGTTTAAGGCTTTAGTTTCAATATTATTCACCCTCCCTTAAACAGATTGTTACAATTAAAGAACCTCTAATTTCAAGGGCGGTGTAGATGAAAGTGACATCTGAGCTTGCTGTGACCCGAACAGGTGTAAGTGATGGTTATTTATTGCGATGAATCAGCATTTTATCCATCCTAATTAGGACATTATGCAGGACTTGGGCGGGTTGGGCATGCCCATGGGCGGCCCTGTGGCCGGGCATGCCAAAACGAAATGGCCCTGAGCCCATTTGGGTATGGGCTGTGGCGAGGTCTAATCGAGAACACAAATACGAGCAAAAGAAGTGTCAGGCAAAGGCACCCTCCTAGTCCCAAGCAACTTGAATAGGATCGTGGCTCCGCGAGAACTTCTTGCCCAGGAACCAAAGCTCAAACCGGAGATCGGCCGGACCGACAGTAACTTTAACATCGAAATTGAGGTTGTAGTACTTTTTGCTGCGAGAAAAAAGGCCTTGTGACAGCTTCTGTCGCTCCATCTCGTTGTTCCGGATGCCGGTCAGGTCAGACTTTACCGTGCAGAGCGGGATGAATCCGGCTGTGAATGTGTTAGTCAACTTTGTAGCACAGATAAGAACTTATCAAGTGCGTGAGTGAAAAGAGAGGCAAAAGAGAAAGTGAAATATTAGGAAAAAAGGAGAAGGGCCGGACATACGGTGCGCAACGCTCCTAGGCAGATTATCCTTCTCGAGATGGGAGATTACGAAAAAACCATCGAACTTGCGAACCGCATCTCCAGGATCGATTTTGTAATTGAAGGAATGTGAAATCGGTTTGCTTGGATCTATAACATCGCCCTGATAGATTTATTTTAATCAGCGATGCCGGTTTACAGATGCATAACAATACCTAGGAAACTTCGAGGTACTTACCTTTCTAATGATCCAATCTATCTGCTGCGTGGCGTATATTTCCCCATCAAGTGGATCCTTTTCGAGCACCTCGCCTTTATGGATGATCGGGTTGAACTTCATATTGCACACCAGCCCGTAACTTGCCCTTGCCTTCCGGTGAATAAGGACGGGAGTTGATCCGTTCTCAAGCTTCTGCAGTCTCATCCAGGAGGAGTCCCCTAACAACTACAAGTTGTGGGTCGGTCGCGTGGAGTACCTTTATCCGGGGTGCCTTTTCCTGTATCGCTTTTGATAAGCAATGCCTTACATATGATGAGCTCCCTAAGCCACCAGAGAGGATCATGTATTTCTGTTTGAAAGGACTGATTAGTATTAGATTTAACCGTCCGTGTCCATTGCAGGTACTTACTATGTGTTGGGAATGACCGTTTTTTCGGGCCCAGTCAAGCTGCTTGCCTATCTTGTGGATAATCCTATCAACATGAGGATCAAATAGTGACTGCATCTCGTCCCTGCCACGGAAAAGGAATGACCAGTTAGTTGTGTAGTCAGGAAAAGATCCAACGGGGGGGCTTTGAGATGGTTGCCTACCTCATCAGAATCAATTCTCCTGAATCAATCCCAGCTTCTGGAGAGCTAAATTTGTAGTGAACACCCTGTAAAGGCAGTTTATATTTTGGAGTTTCCCAGGCATGCTCGCCAAACCTATGTTTCGCAGTCTGGAACCTCACGGTCTGAACTAGGCGCTTAATGCAATCTGGAGGCAGCAGGTGGAGCAAATCAGGGAAGGGACGAATGCGTGAGCTGGCAAGGTCGAGAAAGTCTCTGTCGATAAAAGTCGAGCCGATACCAATGCCATCAACTTCTGTGATCTGTGACAGTGTTGGAAACGGCTCGCTAGCTTCGACAACCTTCATCAGTGCAAGGTCAGTTGTGCCACCGCCTGCATCGACGGAAAGGAAGATGTCGTCTTTGTGGAATCGCACAGCTCCACTCTTGATTGTCCCTACAGCAGCTGCCTCTGACTCGGTGAGCTCGACTGTAGCTGTATGCGAAGGACTTTCCCTTCCAAACCCGGCGGCGGCAATGACTTTCTTGAAGATGTTGATAGTCGCTTGGCTTCGCCATGTAGTTGGAACACTGAAAATGTACTCAACAGTCAGGTCTGCCCAAACTGTTGCCGTCCGGCTCTCCACTGTATCCTTGACGTGATTATATATCTGCTGGAGATAAGTTGTCGCCAAGTACTGGGCCTCCGTTCTTGAAACCGGGGTGGCACTGGGGATGTCTAGCCTGCAGACATCCTCCGTCTTGTTACTGTCAAGAAATATCTTGAATAAATCCTTTCTGTGCTTCTCAGGCCCGTCATCTTCCTCGCATAAGAAGCCCCACGATGTCAGTGACCCATCCGGGTTATACACGAGGCAGGTGGGGACCTTCTGCTCGTTTCTCGTCGAACAACCGGGCCAGTTCTGGATGATCTGGATAGGAGTCTGGATGGCATTGTTGGCCTGTAGACAAACCCATCCAACTCCTCAATAGGTGATTCAGCAACAGCGATAAGAGATGGAAGGATGTAAACTGCTTACCCGTGTAAGTAGTCCCGAAATCGACAGCTACCACAATATCAGGACGCTTGTCGCTGCTCATTTCTATGCTCGAATGTGGTCTAAAGAGAGAGTAAAAAGGCCAAAGAAGGATGGGTCTGAACTGGCGATTATGGGTATCAATATCACCAGAAGCATCCCCGCGTGCTACTGCAGCTCCAAGTTCGCTAGTGAAAATGCCTGCATGGAAACTTGAGGGCTAGATGCACCAGATTATATGAAAACAGACTAAATTAAACAGTTTACAGGAGTGTTTAGAGAATATTGCGGGATTTTCTTCGTTACCATGCGGCTGAGGACATCAAAATCACGTTCACACCAGCTGCTACGTAGCCCTGAATCAGGTGGCGGCCCTGTACGGGGACTGCATGGTTCAACTGGATGCCTCATATTTAGTGGATGTTACTCAGACCCAGCCCTCTCTGTAAACATCCATGCCCTTTAGGCTTGGCGTCTTATAATGGAATAAAATAATTAAAGTAACATCAGATTACCCGATCCAGTAGACTCTCAGTACCGTCTGTGATAGATGATCCGCCTCTTTTCTCCTCAACAAAGATACCCGTTCTGTCTCGGTGCATGCGAAATGCGAAGAAATCAGTAAGAAGATGATAGAAATGGGGCGTTGGTGCTGAATGAGAGTTCAGCCTTGTTACGAACCATTCCAGCCACCCAATTGTGAAAGGTCAACTCCTCTGCAATTCAGGCATAGTAACCGAGCCGTCCCATGAGCCAACCCCAATTACCGGCGCTACGCTTGGTTAAAAGTGCATGACAGAATCCGAGGGCGTAGCAGATCAGCTACTGCCGACGTCCAATAGGGGCTAGTCATAATACACATTCGAAAGCTAGTAATGGACGCATGGGTCTCGGTCCTAAGAAATTATGTTTTCCTTTCATCTCTTTTCTGAACTTGCTTGGCCGTTCGTTCCATTTGTATTTTCACTATCCGCTATTCTCAGGACCATCAATAAGCATGACATTCACGTCACTTTCTACGTCAAATTCTACATCAAATTCTACGTCAAGTTCTAGTAATCAGCATTCCGTGCGACCAACCTCGACTTCAGTCCCCCATGCTGGCATCAGCAGCGCCGCGGCGGCAGGCATTGGCATTGGCTGCATCATAGCAGGCCTATTCATCGGTATTCTTCTTACTTTTTTCTTCGCAGTAAGGCGAAAAAAGAGGGAGGGTTTAATCTCTGGTCTCTCTCGTTCAGGCAATACGCATGAACTCAGCAGGGGCGCTTCCTCTATGACATCTACAGCACCGCGGACAGCCAGAGCAACAGGAATAGTTGACTCTAACCCCCTTAACCAGTTCCTGCTGGAATCCAAGTCGGATAAGATGATTTGCAACGAACTTCAGGCCTTAAGCCACCTGATATTTCAGCATATTGAAAACCACTACCATTGCTTGCCAGCTAAGGGCAGTTATAGTGCACTTTCCAGCACTCTATTGACCCTAGGGCTGGAGGAGAAAAGCTCAATTCCTTGCGGCCAGCTGGTGAAGATCACACTTGATCCCAAGACTCGACTTATGGCTCTCCAGCACATCATTACGTCTGTTGTCTTCAGGAGTGTTGCTTTCTCGCAAGATTCACCGGTCTCCCTGCTTCCTGCATCCGTTTCCACGTTTCTGCAGGAAATTTCCCCAGTAGAGAGGCATAGGGGAAGCCAGGAAGGTAAGCCTCCACACATCAAGGCTTGGAACACACTTCCCGGCATGAGATAATAATTGACTAACGAGTTCTCAAACCCTGTACAGCCTTCTTCCTCGCACTTACACAGTGGCGACAGCTCTCCGCATTCCTGCTTCACCCGAACCGCAGCGAGCGTAATCCACTGACACCGCACAATGCTACGATTGCGCCACGGGCGAGGGAGTTGATTCATAAGCTCGAGCCGTTCTTGGATATATTCGTCGATCCTAAGTTACGGAAAAACCAGCAGGAGCATCTGGAAGATGTAACAATGGAGTGTGCCAAGTTTGGCTACCTCCTTTTCTCGCAGCGCGAGGAACTCCGCATGAGCTTCGAGCTGGGCCAAGAGCGCTCTGGTAGTACGGAACTAGTGGTCTGCCCCGGGCTCGACAGAGTCAGCGACGACCAGGGCAAAAGATACCCCGTCCCGCAGCCAATTTGTTCGCCACAGATGAAGTCATTCAAATAGTGTAGTGCGTACATCTTTAATAGGGGATAGCTTTAAATCAAATTTGAAAAATTGTTTCTTTAAGATCCTCTGTTAGTCCTGTAAAGTGGACTGCACGAGAGAGACTAGTCTTTCATCCAAAGAGAAACGGATGAACCATCAACATCATGTCACATAATAATCCTAGTCGCGGATGGTAATATTCTGGTTCATAGAAAAGTACAAGAGTACAGAAATGATGTTATAGGACCACATAGCAGGGAATGCAATGGTCAATCAAATTTCGTCCCAAAGTTTTTTGTAGCGAATTCCTCAAAGATGAAGCCGTCAAATTCACTAGCATCGTTATAAATGATGCCCCCATTTCCCCAGACACAAGCAAATGAGTCTGGATTGGTCAGGTTCAGAGCCATGGCCTTCGATATGGTTAGCTTTGGTGTTTTGAGCCTGGTCTAGGAATTTATTGTTACGCACCTTGATCCTCTGTCCAGGCCGCTTCCGCCCAAAGCCGCGCTCGATATTTTCTTCAAGTTTGCCCGAATTGCCAGAATACTGGCCTTGAAGGTTATACCTCCGCTCACCATTTTTTAGCTGAGCCACCCATGCGTCTTTCATTCCCAGCCAAACAGCTTTCACTTTGTTTTCCGAATACCATGGCTGGCTCATGAGCTCTTCGGGGAGATCCCAAGCATGACGGCGGTTTGTTCGGAGGTAATAATGCCCGTTTACACCAAGAGATACGTATCTGGGACACCCAGATTCTGTGCTCGCGGATTTGTTCTCGTCAAGATCGGCCGTGTCGGCCTTCCTGTATTTATCGAGAAAGGCTGCTAGACCGGGATAATCGGGCAGGAAGCTGACTATGCGGCAATCGCGTGTTGTTAGAAACCGCCTTGTCCTGGTAGCGAGCTACTGCCTCCCTCTTTTCCCGCAGAGTACTTACTATCTTTGCAGTGTCCGTCTTGATGGTAGTGAATATAGAATGAGTTTGAGGTCCCTAGCACAAAGGCTTTTACGCCTCCAGTATGCCCAATCCAAGATTGAATAGTTCGCTTCACTGCATGAGACAGACTACCATCTTTTAGTAATTAACTGTTTCCAGTATGCATAGCAGATTACTTACTGCGTACGTTGTTCCGGGTCATCATTGAACTTCTGGTCACCTATGCGAGCCTTGACATACTGAGGCAAGTTGCTAGGAGTAATGTCAATCATCGAGAGCTGTGTGTACATCATTAGATTGGTGTGGAATCCTTACCTATCATTCGTCTTTGGACCACAAAAATAGAACCAGTCACCAACGAGGCTGATTGATCGACACTCTTGAATACAATTCGAGCCCGGGTGTGACCTTGTCCTGGTCTGCCTGGAATGGTCTCTTTGAAGCATTTTGATTTGATCAGACTGCCGCTGTAGCTGCACTTGTTGATCCTCCAGTGTCTTTTGTGCTATGTACTCGTTCTCTTCCCTGAGCTGCGCCTGCTGCGCCTCTAGCATCCTCTGCATCCTCCTCTGATTCTCTCTTCTGAGGTCCGCCAGATTGACTCTCAGTTTCTCCCGCTCCTCGTTCAGCTTCTTGGCCTTGGCTTCGGATTTCAGGCGTTCTTCACTCAAAACCGTCGCGAGCTGCTTGTCTCGAAGCCGCATGGCCTCATCCATATCGGCCTTCTGTTGCACCGCCAGTTTCTGCCACTTTTCTCTTTCACTGGCCAGCTCGTTGTCAAGGGTTCTGCCAGCGTTTGTCTGGTTGAGATCTCTCTTTTCTCGGACCATTTCGTCCTGGATCGTGAGTTCAATCCTCTTCTCTTTCAGGAGCTTGGAAACGAGCTGCTTTGCGGATTCCTGGTTGTTGAAGTGACGTTCCACCCTTGAACCGTTCCTCACCATGTATCCCCAGAAATCCTCAGTTTCTTTCAACTCCCTTTCTCTGGCATCGCCCTCACTGTCTTTCACCTTATCCCACATGGTAGTCACTAGGATAACGTTCTTTAGGGCATTCTCCCCGCAGAGCCTCTTGAACATCAAGAGATTTTTCTTCGCGGTGCCTTGCATTCTTGGGTCAGCAATCCGGTGCAAGTAAAACATCCCGCTAAGCTTGACACTGCTTTTAATTGACTCAGAGAGCCAAAGGGCAATCTCACGGAGGACATCGCTGTCGTCGCGATTGGTGTCGTCAAAGCCTGGGGTGTCGATCAAATAGACATTGATATCGTCATCGTGCTTATATAAGTACGAATTGACGCCTTGAGTGCCTGAGAGTGTGTTTTGAGTCAGTAAAAGTGCTGATGAGCCAGGGGGTTGTCTGGGGTGGGAGCATACAGCCTTGAAGACCATGTCCGATCGAGACATTTGTACCTGGCTCGGCCAACAAAGAGATGAAGCTGCTCTTCCCGGAGCCGGTTACACCCATGACGGCAATGAAGACATCATTAGTTCGGGGTTCGACACCGTTCCGGAAAAAGGTCTCATCAGGAGGGATCACGGCCTCATCTTGAGCTGGAAGGCCTATTACCACTGGTACTTTTTTAGTATAGCCTTGGACATGCAACACTTTCACGGGTTGGAAAGTGGATATAGCTTACCGCCACCGTTTGCCGCCATGGATCCTGTAATGGGTCGGTAGAATAGATATATTGAAATCGTAGTAGAGACGCAGATATTCCTCCAACATTCAAAGGAAGATTGGTCTCAGAAAATGTCAATTAGAATGTTATTAATGTGTAATCCTGGGGCTCCATGCAGCTCATCATCCGGTGGGCTAAGCAACAATGTGTATCTCGCCAGGTTAATCCCAAATTATCTACTGCGTGGACCTTGGGCTGCTTATGTGCATACACAGCCCCGCTAAGGCCTCGCCTCGCTAATCGTAGCCTGTGTGGGTCAGATCACTAGGCTACGATTACGAGTAGTTTTATGCAAGTTCAGGGTACCTTCCAAGCATTAATACAGTCTGAGAGTATTTAACAAAAACAGGCAGGCAACCCGAGCCGATTGAGTTCCAGTGCGGCTAAATCCGTGGCTCGCCTTACTTATCCACGTCTTCGCCATACTGGATCTCACGCTAAGTTAGAGGCTGAGCACCTTTATAATCCCAAGAAGGATACAATAACAACCTTGGAGTCGAAATGGATGCTGATTTCGCCTTGTCGTAGGTCTCCCACACTACCGAGCACTGAAAAATGTTGTACACTAAAAACTGTGCTAATTATCTTCCAAATGAAGGGAGCAAGACGTACTCATCGCAGTGATAGGTGCTACAGGGAGTGGGAAGAGCACTTTCATATCAGCATTAGTCGAGGAGGACATCGGTATTAGCCACAGCTTAATATCAGGTGAGAAGGTATAGGGAGATCCTGCAAATCCAAGCATTGAGTTCTGAATCTGCCTCTTTCCACAGCTACCGCCACATGCAGGGTCTATTCCTTTCGTCAATCCGGGGGAAATTTGGTAACCCTGATCGACACTCCGGGCTTCAACGATACTGGGCTTGAGGAGTCGGAAGTGTTACGAAACATCGCTTTCATGTTGACCCGGACCTACCACCGTGGGATCAGGCTGTCGGGCATCATCTACACGCACCGAATCACAGATGTCAGAGTTGGTGGGTCGGGAAAGCGGATGATGAAGCTTGTCCGAAATATTTGTGGTGAAGAAGCCTTCCCTCGAGTGATTCTGGCCACGACAATGTGGCAAGCTTTGGACACCGACCGCACGGCTTATGCTCAAGCAGTCAATAATGAAATAGAGCTACAGTCCACTGAATATTTCTGGGGTGCCATGTGCGATGGCGGCAGCAAGTTGATGCGCTGGGACGGGAGCCGTAAGTCGGCGACCGCCATGGTGGATTTCCTGTCGCAACTCCAAGCACAAAAAGGTAAAGTGACGTTACAAATTCAGAAAGAAATGGTGGACTTGCACAAAGTTCTCAATGACACCATGGCTGGGTGCACGGTGAACAACAGGATCACCGAGCTTACCCGAAAACTCCATAGGGAGATGAACGAGGCTGACCTGACCATTGAAGAGCCGAAGTGGCACCAGGATACACAAACTCGGGATTTGGAGACTGTTCGAGGCGAGTTGAAGTGGCAGATCTGCGAGGCAGAGAAGGCCCAAGATGCCCTCAAGGTTAACTATGACATTCTCTCGCGCCAAAAAATCGGGGAGTGTGAAGAGCTGTTGGGAAAGCTCGACCGAGAATTGGTTAAGAAAGAGCACGAAGCGGCCCAGATTGAATGGGAAGAGCCCTTAGACAATGACGGATCTCTGAACGAGTTGGAATACAATAAAGAGCGACTGAAGCTGCTGGATGAACAAGTCGAGAATCTGAGGTCCCTGTCACAGACAGCGGAGCTCGAACAAGTCCTAGAATACCGTGAACGGGTTAAGGAATGCTACCTGGAATTCTGCAAGCAGTACGAAAACAGACAAATGGCTCAGGGTCTGAGATCTACAGAGCTGATGTCTCTGCGTGGTGAAGCGACACAGCTGGATAAGATGCAGATGGCCTTGCGAGGGTTTGTATTTCTGGCAGGACTTGGCTTAACCGTCGCTGGTGCAATCACTGCAAATCCACCACTGATAACTGGCGGGATATCTCTCGCAAGTAGTTCAGTGAGTTCTATGGCACGTGGGAGATAGAATCCGTATTTTGTAATCCTGGTGAAGATTGCTTATTGTATTATTCTCTGAGCAACAAGTTGAGCTTTATATTCGTTACAATGTTGAATCTCGGGGTGATTGTCAATGGGATCCTGTCCATCACATGGATGGTATAAAGCCCCGACGATGTGGACTACCAATTCCTGCTATCCCTTATGAACTGATGGCGGCCTCAACCTAGGAGTGATCCGATGGACTCCCGGAGCCTACTGCTCCTGGAAATGAATGAGAGAGGTCCCAGGAACCGCCAAAAATAATACAGTATGGACGACAGATGAGCCATTGAGGGTCCCACATAGCGCATCTACATTAGCCTGAATACAAGAGAGCGAAATCCTTTATTTTGCTTTCTTGCGCTATGTCATGTATCGAGAGACTAACATGGCTCTTCTAATTTTCGTGCGTCTAAAATGTTATGCTATCCGCCTTTAGGTATACGTGGGGCCTTTGAATACCTCCATGATGCAGATAAAGTGTTATTGGAGGTCCACCTCGCCCCAGGAGCATGACCGCTGATCACCACGATGTCGTCCCACTATTTGATAAGGAATGTATAGTTCCCAGGACCCATGTGCGCAATGGGCCCACGCGGGTTGCAAAAGACATTTAACTTCCTAGTGCTAGGTATCAGGTCTACAATATAAAAAGCCTTCTTTTCCTGGCGAGTGTGTATCCTTTGGTACTCTGAAGTCAGTCTTCAGCTCGGTGTCTACTACTCTTTTCAACGATCATGGTATGTTCCGCTCATGTCTCAATAGTCACGCATATTGAAGTGCTTTCAGGATCGATTGTCTCTTCTTCCCCCCGAGGTGCTCTTTCGCACAGTCGCCTGCCTATCAAAGGTGGTCGATATTTCCCATCTTGCCAGAGCCAGCAAAGCGTTCTACTTCATGCTCAATCGAAGCCTTTACGAGTTCAATATTGAGCACCAAAAAAGTTGTGTGCTTCACTGGGCAGCGAAGAAAAATGACGGCGAATTGGCAAACATCGCCCTCCAGTATTATGATCCAAACATCAATTCGAGAGTTAAAGGTCGAACACCACTAATAGAGGCCTCTCGATATAGACCCGACGTTGTGACCGAGGTTTTCTTACAAACCCAGAAAATACGTGTGAATGCCCGACATAAAGGATCAAGCGCGCTTATCTACGCTGCATGTAATGGACATACCAATATTGTTGCCAGCCTGCTTCGACATAATGATATCGATGTGAACCTCCCCGATACTATAAAACGGACAGCGTTGTGGCATGCCACTTACCGAGGCCGTCTGGAAGTAGTACGCTAACTGCTACAGTTTGGAGCTGACACCCTCGCAGCTGATGAAAATGACGTGACGCCTTTCAAACAGTCAGTTTTTTAAGCCAATCAACTAACTGGGGGGTTAAATAGTGAAACTATTCCTAGTATATCTATAGCACACCTAGCGCGATTGGGTTGAAAGGGCAGGATTTGGCAATCTTTTACCACCACTGTGCTAGGCCGCTTAATACGCTGCTATTGATTTTGTCCACTATCTACTGGCCGAGGACGCAGATATCAATGACACTAAAATTGAAGGCTTGACACCGTTATATGTCTCAGCATAATGGGATCACGAAGAAATAGCTCTTTTATTTCTTGAGCAGCAGAATATCAACGTACAAGCGCAAGATAACGATGGACGAACTGCACTCCATTATGCTGCTATGAACGGACTGTATGAAGTGGCCAAAAGGCTTCTCGTTGTCGACCAAATAGGGATAGACTGTCGAGATAAGAATGGTAACACGACGTTATGGTGGGCGTCTCGGATGGGCTCATTTAGGGTCAGAGATCTGCTTCTATCCAAAAGTAGCATCGACCCCAATGCACTTGGCATGGACCCATATAGCGGTAGGATTACGACTTCACACAAAAGTGCGGTAGAGAGCAAGAAGAGCCTGGTCGTGCATTTAATGCAAACAGAAGAGGACTTCAATGAGAACTCACAAACCACCTGAATTTCCTTGTCTCGCATGAAAGCGAAGCCTCAAATGTGCCATCATATTCTGAAAGCTGGCAAATTCTCAAGTTTGAGGGGTTTGAAAGTTGCGCCAATCTGTATTTTACGGAAGCACGCGATATTAATGTACTTTGCATTTTCGCTTAGTGAATAATAGTGCAATTTAATCAAGACGACATTCCATTTATTGTAGTTGGTTTTAATTGCTGCTATACCAAGCAGAAAGCGGAATGATCCAAATCAGAACGCATGACATCACCGACAGCGTAGAAAGATGTTATTTATAAGAATAAACACCAAGCAGAATGTCCACAGTCGTAAGACCTCGGAAAATTCCCTATCGGCGGATCCCTCCATTGTCATGTTGGGTGCAAACAGTGGTGGAGCAGGGGCACCAACTGCACCGGTATGAGATACAGTAGTGACGCGCTGAGAGACGGGAGGTTAAATGTGGGAATGATCAATGACAAAGGCAGAGCTGCAGTATTCCAATCCAGCTCTCCAGTTGTGTCGGTGTTCTCAGCCCCCGCGATCTCGTCCCCAGAACATGCAATGGAAGCCTGCCTGATCATCTCGTTGCTACATGGAAACATCCTGATATTAAACGGCGTTAGCACATGGGCAAAAAGAAAATTCTTTGACATGTCCAGTCAAAGCACTAACTTAGATTTGATTGCAGACCGGGTATGCGTGACGGGGATTGAGGATGTGACGAGGCGTGCTCGAATCGATAAATTAGCTCCAGACAGTAGGCCTCTCCGTCACGTATCATATATGGCCGTCAAATCTCTCCTTCGTGCTCTGAGAATGCAAGTAGGAGTGAGCCGGCTAGCAAAGACCGGTTCTTGTATTAAAGCCTATCTTGTATGATTGACCGGAGCTCAAACAATGGAGGATGAATGTGGGCTCCTGTAGAAGTTCGCGACAGCACTCGGTTTTATATTTCCAAAGTTTGAGTTGACTTCGTGACAAACAGCCTCTCCGGTGAGTGATTGTCAGAGCCCCTGGTGCTACGTATCACAATGCCCGAACTGGTTAATTTTCTAAGATCAACAGACTTGAACCACCAGATCACTGCTTCTATAGAAAACTGCATTCCCGATGCCCGTGCCTATGTCATAAGATCGAAATCTCAGACATCTCCAGTCAGTGTTGCGAGTTGGGCGAGCAGTAACCGTTGAGCTAGTCAGTCCTTGCCAGCCCAGGAAAAGTCAACTGCACAACTCTTTCAGATTCTTCAACCGTTATGCCCTGTTGAGTGGCTGTTGAGAACTGGCTTGTCTTAGTATACCACTCACCACTCTCATCGCAATCACCATAATCACCATGTTCTTTACATATCTCCTGTTGAAGTATTTTGACTATGTTTGGGCGATATTTTACTAAGGATAAGGAAGCAGGGAAGTACATTCTATTCTATCTCTAAGTCTGCGGGTCGAAATTTCAATTTTGACACCGAGGAAGAAGTGCGACAAAAAAAAGCGATGAACCAAACCACAACATCCCGCTGCATGTCATATTGCGCTTTCCGCCTCCACACACTCCATCAGTGGGCACCGATTCCTGGTGGATTTCGTAGTTACTCGTTTCTCTCTTTCTCTCTTTTTCTTCTTTAGTTTAGTTACTTCTATTAATAATATATAAATTTTTTTTATCCTAGTCAGTAATATATAACTATACTCTTCTTTTCTCTTTCTTATCGCCTTTAGGTATAGTCTAAATATTAGATACCTCGCTATCGCTATCTCGCCCTATTAGTAATACCCTTTAATAAATTAAAACCGAATAAACGAACCCTAAACTAAATTTTTACCGAATATTATAATAAAATAATATTATAATTGAAGAAACTAATACCTATATAAAGTCTAAGTTACGCGACCGACGTAAGAGATATACTATACTAATTAAGAATCTTTTTTCCGAAAAAGAGAAGGATAAAAAAAATATTAAAGAGAAGCTTACTAAGAAATAGAATTTACCTAAGTTCTTAACCTTATCTTAGAACCTATTAAGATATGATAATATAATTAACTTTAAGATTAATAACCTAAAGGCTAAGAATCTTATTTATTAGGAATTTTACTCTAAGGAGTAATTCCGAAGAAATCTCTAAGAAGATATAAATATCTATAAGAATAATTAATTTAATATAAAGCTTATTAGATCTAATAAGACTTATAGATTTTTAGCGATATATATTTAATAGAACTTTTATAGACTAATATTAGATAACTTAAAGCTACTTTTATTAATCTAACCTAAGAGTAACATAAGGCTATTATTTATTATAATTTTATAGTTAATAAATAAAATAACTTTATTTTTTAGATCCTTTAATTCTTAATATTAAGCCCTTAGAACCTTTTAAATTATTAAGACCCTTAAGTCCTTAAAACATATAGTTATCTATTAGCTAAAATACCTAACATTTCTATATTAAATAATAATAAGATAAGTTATTTTAATACTTAGGCTATAATAATTAAATATAAGCTAGCTACGAATATTAATTATTATCTTATTACTAAATATTATATAATTTATATTATAAGCTATTATAAAGCGAAGGTACTTCTTTATATCTATCTTTACCTAAAAAAAATTATCTTAAATCTCTATTAGGATATCTTAGATATTATAGAGTACCTAAAAGATATTTTTTAGAACCTAAACTATATTATTAAGGCTTACTAAAAGTATTAATATCTAATAATAAAGCTAAAGGATAGCTTTAATAATTTTTTTACTAAATTTATTTAATTAGCTAAAGAAGCGAAATAACTAAAGAATTACTAAAAGCGAGACCTTTATAATAAGCTCCTAAACTTATTATAGACTTAGATAATATTATTTATAGATAAGACTTCTATTAATTTTAATAAGTTTATTTATATCTATTAAAGTATAGCTTATAATATTACTCTCTAATTTAAGGCTAAGAAATTCTATAAGCTAACTACCCCCTTTAGAGTTATTATTAGAACTTTAACT